TCCAGGCTTAGAAGTGTTCGTGCTGAGCAGAGGTCTCTATTCACTCTTTCGACGATGTAGGGCTCTCTCTATAGTTTTATTTCTGGACGTTTATTACAGTTGTTCTATCTTCCGTTTGGATGTTTAATAGGGGTCCACTAGAGATGGATTCCCAAGTTGTAAACTGATGGAGTTTTGGAGTTTGGGTTTGATGGATTTTAATAATTATAATATTTTGCGGATTCTATTTTTAGTTCCTTCCAGCTTTAATTTCATTTCTTAATTTATTTTGTATTTCGTGTTCATTATAAAATATTAATTGTTTGATATTCCCTCGAGTTTGGGCCTGGGCCTGATCAACCCGTGTCTCGGATCCGAGGGGTATCATAACTTAAGGCTTATAAAATTGTTGAGAAGTAAGCCTACATTTAGATATTGAGGATGGGATTAATCTAAGCTTAAACAGAGAGTTCGTAGGTGAAGGATTGGAGAATTAACTTCTGTTGCTTACTGTTTTTGAAACTTTGATTTCTCTACATGACTTAAAATTATGAATCATGGTTTTTAGCTGTGCTATAAGTATACTGATGTTTAATTATATGTATGCTTTGTTGGGATTAACTGATGATTTAATCTGTTGTATATGGTATCCGTTATGGCACTGTTCGGAGGAGTTAATTGCATAGTCTTACTTTACCTATTTAATGGACTGTAAGTAGGATTCTAAATCCTTTCTGGGATGTATGTTTTAGTTTTACACATGTTAAATTGTGTTTGAGCTTATTTTGGAATGTAGTTGATAATTATTTTTATACTGTTTTGTCAACTACGGTAAATGGAGGGTAGTATGCACCGGTATGGGACGGTGGCAGACTAGGTATGGATTAGTTCAGACATTAAGCCTACCTAATCTGGATTGAGGTTCGGATTAACAATAAAAGTTAAATCCGACTTCTATTAGTGTCAGGTCAGTAAATAACTGAATGACATAATTGGATTTCTAGGATGGATTGTTATACAGATATTAAGCTACTATATCAGATGGATGATATTTTGTATTAGAAGGACACGGACTTTATATATTTATATTATGATGCCATGGTATGAGCTTGAGTCTCATGACCATGGTTAAGTTGCGTATATCGCCTAGGATAGATAGCTGAACAGTAGTTGTTGTTCCCTGGTAGGTCTAGGTACACATGACCACATTATGTGCAATTTGCCTGGTATCTCTACTCAGGCTGAGACAGACCTATTGGACTAGTGAGCGTCCTATAGTGTGTACTTATACATATATGGACTACTCTAGATATTGTTGAGTCTATCTAAGATGTATCTGCGTATCGGATTCCTGTTTGGATCATAGTAGATCAGGACTTGCATGTAGGCCTGACCCACTCTTTTATTTTTCAGGTGCTCGTCAGTTCCAGGGTTAGAGCTTGGTCGTGCAGAGCAGATACAGACTTCTATTCCACTGACTACGTAGGATTGCTTACTTATTAGCTTTGGATCTTATTTCAGTTATTTCATTTACAGTTGGGATTTTTATTAGGGGTCCACTAGATGGATTCCCGAGTTGTTAATTGGTTGGAGGTTTTGGAGTTTGGATTTTTATAACATTATTTTAAGGATTTTCAATTAGAGTTCTTTTCATCTATTTTTAATTACTTCTTATTATTTCATCTTGTATTATGTGTTCATTAAAGTATTAATTGTTTGATATTTCCCTCGAGTTTGGGCCTGGGCCTGATCAACCCGTGTCTCGGATCCGAGGGTATCATATCTTTCGAAGGGATTTTTTGTCCCTTTGAGAGACCGATTATTTTATCAGCCAACATAAGGTCAAAAATCTCATCAGCCTTTATAATGTCGAAAGTGTATTGTTTACCGGCCTCTGTTAAGGTTCTTTTAGCCGTTGAACTTGATGGCTTAACACTACTAACAGTTTCGGTTGGTTTAGTCAATGCTGAACATGAATATGGTTTCTTTATATTAATTTCAGCAGCATCAATTTCAAGGCCAATTTCAGCCTCTGTCAAATGAATCTCGTAAGTATGATCTTTGACATAATTATTCGACGCCTCTGTCATATGAATTTCATAATTTGGGTCCCTGTAATAGGTACCCCTAGAGGCATTCATTCTATCTTGTTCTTCTTTCAGAACCTTTTCATACCTTGCGGCACTAGAGGCTAGTTGAAACAAGTCCCGAAATTGCATTCCCTCAAATTTCTTTCGTAATTCAAAGTCTAAACCATTTAAGGCTAGACTCATATATTTAGTTTCTGGAAGGGATACTTGGCAGTTATGTTTCGCCCTTTTAAACCTACCAATAAAGGCTTTAGCCGTTTCTCTAGGTATTTGGGACAACCTAGATAAGTCAGCCATCGACACATCTGGTTCAGTCTTATAAAATTGGGTATAAAACATTTCTTCCAATTGTTGCCAAGTATAAACCGAATTTATTGGTAAACTTATATACCAAGAAAATGTGGTCCCTATAAGGAATTAGCAAATAGCCTTAATTTTAAGAATTCATTTGCTCCAGCCTCACCACATTGAATGGTAAACCGACCAATATGTTCTATGGTTAAAGTGGAATATTCTCCCGAAAAGGTAACAAAATCAGAAACTTTATAGCCTTTTGGAAACTCATATCGGTTTATATAGTCCGGATATGGCTTCCTATATGTAAGGCGACCAACTCTTCTTGAGGTTGGTCCATAAGTTTCTTGAATTAAATTAGCCAATTGATCTCAATAAACCATAAGGGGTTGATGATTTGGCTGTTGCGCTTGAGGTTGATGCACGTGCGGCACCTGAGGCTGAGGCACATATGGCGCCTGAGGATGAGGCGCTAGAAAATTAAAACCAGTATAAAAATTATCTCGCCCTTCTTGGGGCTGACATACCTGCGGTTGGTGTTGATAAATCGGATTAAGTGGTCGCCAATTCACATTCCGATTGGCCCCTCCGATTGGTTGATATTCCGCTGGAATCTGATGGTGCGGCTGATTAGCCTGCGGTTGATACTATCCATGCAACGGCTGCAGAAGGGGTTAAAACCCTTGGCGCTAATGTTGGTAGTAATTCTGTTGAACCCCAACAGGCGCTGGAACTTGTTATTGTGCATGCAACGAAGTATCTATAGTATTCGACCGTGCTATAAGGTATTGATCAAACCTTGTTGATAGGACGGTCAAAGAGTCATTCAAATTAGCCAATGTGTTATGGATTGGCTCTAGTGCTCCATGAAAGGTACGGCTGGAAATTTTCATCCGTTGCACTAAGTTGTTAACATTCTTAGCCAACATCTGATTACTTGGCTGTTGATTCACTTCCACTTCAGCCTCTTGTTCCTGGTGTTGAGGCTGTTGATTCACTTCAAATTCAACCCCTTGTTCCTGATGTTGAGGCTGTCTTTCGGGCAAATTTTGCGACTGAGACCGAGTAAATGCCATAGATAAAAGTTGAATTTAAACACTTCCGGTGTCCCACTGGGCGGGCTAAATTGTTTGGCTCTATTTTTTAGGGGCGTGCCAGAATCTTTCGACCCAAGGGGTTGGATAGCCAAACTATTCTTGGTGCTGACCAAATATAAAATCAATCCTTAGTGAATCAGGCGATTGTTAGAAGGCAAGGATGACCTCTTCCTTCAGGTTCTTCAACGCCTCAATAAAGAGGACTTTTAGCACTATAAGTAGAATGGATAAGGGGAGTAAAACAAATTACACAAGCATTCGTCTATTCTAAGAGACTTAGAAAATAAAAGTAGAGGGGACTAATGCCAAGCGTCAACTTTTATTTCATGAGTAAAATTTTTGTACAGAGTACAAGAAGTGGAATTCTAACACTAGAGGCTACTCGTATGAACATAAGTAAAATACAATTTAAAGGCTGAATGAAATTGCAGAGAAGTAAAAATTGAAGTTGTTGAATGATCGTGAGATGTCTCCACAAGGCCTCCTTCTTCTTCTATTTATAGAGAAACGTAGCACCAGTTTCTTTTCAAAATTCAAACATCATTTGAATAAAAACTAACTTTGTCTTAACCTTATCTATCTTGTCCTTATCCAAACTTTGTTTTGAAACAAACTTACGTGACTTTAGACTTCTTTTCCAATCAAACAACACCATGTGTCCTAAAAGATTTATATGGTGCAAACATCTTATAAACATAAAAGATTTATATGTTTAAACAATAGGACTATTCTTGGTGCTGACTGAATATAAAATCGGCCCTTAGTGAATTATGCGATTGTTAGAAGGCAAGGATGACCCCTTCCTTCAGTTTCTTCAACGCCTCAATAAAAAGGACTTTTAGCACTATAAGTAGAATGAATGAAGGGAGTAAAACAAATTATACGAGCATTCATTTATTCTAAAAGACTTAAAAAATAAAAGTAGAAGGGACTAATGCCAAGCGTCGATTTATATGGTGCAAACAATAATGAATCCATAGGTAATGGAAGGTGTCTCTCCCATTTTTTGTTTGGTTGAATGGAATAGATAGTAAAAACGATGGATGATGTAATATTTTTTTTTTATTTGATTAAAAAGAAGGAAAATGAATTTTATATACGGAGTATTTTTTACTAATATATCCTCACTGTATAAAATAATAAAAGGTATATACATTTGAATCTTTTTGAAAAAGGTTAAAATTAAAAATTATATATTGTAAGTAGTTATTAATTTCCTCTCTCATTTCTTTTCCCAAAATTTGGAGAATAGAAAAACATAAAAAAATGAGAAATAAAACATCCCTCTTTACTTTCTACCCCAATTCCCACTTCAATCCCCTTCCCTCCAACCAAACACAAAAAGCCTCCTCTCATCTGTACCTCTTCAATTATTTCCTCCAGCCAATCATACCATAAAATTAAAAGTTATCAAAAATATTTTACCTTTTGTTTTTAAAAAGCAGAGGCCTACGGTCCTATTTCCTGCTTTCGGAGGGAAATCGCTAGTAAATAAAAGAGGGAGAGAGATTCGGCCGATCATCCTAAAAACCCGACCCTTTGTCAATTCTTACCGACCAAGACCTTTTATCCACAACCATCAAGCTCCACGTGTCCTTCTTCAACCCAGCAAAACCCAATTCCCTCTTAAACCTCGTTTCTCTCTCACACAGTCTCACAGTACCAATCCACTGAACAACAGCATCAACAACAATCCATCTGTTTCTTCTTCTTCTTCTTCTTCACCTTCAAGCTCAACCACCGCAAACCATCAATCACAGTCCTCCCAAAAGCTCATGCGAACCATAACACCACAACCCCAATGCCCGAAATGACCCTCTCCTACCACCACCACTCTCTCTCCCCACTCCTCCTTCGCACCCACCAACCCACCAACCCCAATTATCACAATTTCCCCTTTCCCGCCAAAAAATTCAACTTCTCCGACCACAGGAGACGACTCCTCTCCTCCAGCGCCGTAAGACCCAGAGCCAAGGCCAGAGAGCTCATCCTCGGAAACCCATCAGTCACCGTCGAGAAAGGAAAGTACAGCTATGACGTCGAGACCCTAATCAACAAGCTCTCGAGCCTCCCACCTCGAGGCAGCATAGCTCGATGCCTCGACGCCTTCAAGAACAAGCTCAGCCTTAACGACTTCTCTCTCGTCTTCAAGGAGTTCGCTCACCGCGGCGATTGGCAGCGATCACTCCGTCTCTTCAAGTATATGCAGCGCCAGATTTGGTGCAAGCCCAATGAACACATATACACTATCATGATTGGCGTGTTGGGTCGCGAGGGCTTGCTCGATAAGTGCCGCGAGGTGTTCGACGATATGCCGAGCCACGGTGTGGCTCGCAGTGTCTTCTCTTTCACCGCAGTCATCAATGCCTATGGCCGAAATGGGCAGTACGAAACCTCCTTAGAGCTTCTCGAGAGGATGAAGAGAGAGAAAGTCTCGCCCAGCATTTTGACTTACAACACTGTGATCAATGCTTGCGCGAGAGGTGGGTATGACTGGGAGGGGCTATTGGGTTTGTTTGCTGAAATGCGACACGAAGGTATACAACCTGATCTTGTTACTTATAATACTCTGCTTAGTGCTTGTGCAAATAGGGGTTTAGGGGATGAGGCGGAGATGGTGTTTAGGACAATGAATGAAGGTGGGGTTGTACCAGATATTACCACGTATAGTTATTTGGTTGAGACTTTTGGAAAATTGGGTAAGCTGGAAAAGGTTTCCGAGCTTCTTAGGGGGATGGAGTCCGGAGGGAATTTGCCAGAGATAACTTCGTATAACGTGTTATTAGAGGCTTATGCACATTTGGGGTCGATCAAGGAGGCAATGGGTGTGTTTAGGCAAATGCAGGAGGCAGGTTGTATGCCAAATGCCGCTACTTATAGTATTTTGTTGAATTTGTATGGGAAGCATGGGAGGTATGATGATGTTCGCGAACTTTTTCTTGAGATGAAAGTGAGCAACACCGAGCCGGATGCGGCTACTTATAATATTCTTATAGAGGTTTTTGGAGAAGGTGGATATTTTAAGGAGGTGGTGACTTTGTTCCATGATATGGTGGAGGAGAATGTTGAGCCGAATATAGAGACGTATGAAGGATTGATATTTGCTTGTGGAAAGGGAGGGCTTCATGAGGACGCAAAGAAAATTCTACTTCATTTGAATGAGAAAAGGTTAGTGCCAACTGCGAAGGCTTACAATGGGGTTATTGAAGCGTATGGACAAGCTGCGTTGTACGAGGAAGCTGTTGTTGCCTTTAACACAATGAATGAGGTGGGGAGCAAGCCGACAGTGGAAACGTTTAACTCTTTGATTCACACATTTGCAAGAGGGGGGCTTTACAAGGAATCTGAAGCGATCCTGTCAATAATGGGTGAATGTGGTGTTGCACGGAACAGGGATTCGTTTAATGGTGTGATTGAAGGATTTAGACAGGGTGGACAGTTTGAAGAAGCTATAAAGGCTTATGTTGAGATGGAAAAGGCTAGATGTAATCCCGATGAGCGCACCCTTGAAGCAGTCTTGAGTGTTTACTGCGTTGCAGGTCTTGTTGATGAAAGTGAAGAGCAGTTTCGGGAAATTAAAGCATCGGGCATATTACCCAATGTCATGTGCTACTGTATGATGCTGGCAGTTTATGCAAAGAGCGACAGGTCAGGCTTCATGCAGTTATTTGACAATTTTATATCCATTTATCATCTGCAAAGCTGTTTTGATATTGATGGTTCTGTTGTTTTGGTTCAGCTTTAAATTATACCATATCACTACTAATTCATTGTAGAGGTGGCTACAATCATTTGCAAAGAGGTCAAGATTAACCTTTAGATAGTTTGTCATAGAATAGTGGTTCCAAATCCTCTTAGATAATCATCATGACAGTTTGTAATTTAAAGGCTGAAAGAGTTCAAAAAAATCTAGTATGATGTTTTCGATAAATGAAGTGTTTGTTCCAAGAAACACAGTTACGAGTAGGAGCCTTGCCCACATTAGACACATGCAACATTCTTGAATGTGTCGATAATTTGAAAATATAATTCTTAGTTTCTGAAATATGACCGACATACTTCTTGGACACTCACAGTATATGACCTTGAACCTTGGATTGGATAAGAGATAGAACTTCCTTTAAGGAAAAAATTATCTTCTTCTTCTTCTTCTTTTTTATTTTTATTTTTTATTTTTTATTTTTTATTTTTTATTTTAAAAAAAGAAAAAGAAAAAGATCAAGAGATGAGTCATCAAATATTTTTTATATATAGATATGCATATCTATATTCATACACAATCACACAAATCCATGTATATATTGTGTTCCTGTTATGTCTTTCAATATACGAAATGAATGATTATGGTTAATATGATTCATATATCATGAGTTTCAAAACAATCATGAAGTATTTAAGTAACTTATCATGAAATAATGTTTAATTGGATATAATAGATTTTTTTACCAATGTTATTTGTTGTCTTCTCTTCTTGTACATTTCTCATAAAAATGCTTTATCTTTGGCTGAAACCACAATTTCTGAAGTATTGCTGGGATCAAATTTCATGACTAGCTTCTCTTAATTTCAAAAGCCAGCCTAAACATATGCAAGGGTGATTTAATGAAATATATACAAGAAGACAACCCATGGTGCATGTTGTTTGCTGATGACATAGTGTTGCTGGATACATTCTAAGGAGTTTTGGGAATAAAATTAGAAACTTGGAGAAATGTTTTGAAACAAAGGGCTTAAAAATTAGTAAGACTAAAACAGAATATATAGAATGTAGATTTAATAAATATTCGAAAGGTAATAAAATAATAATAGCAATCCAAGACCATAGGGTATTTCGATACTTGGTTCAGTAATACAAAAAATGGGAAATAGATGATGATATTACTAGTAGGGTTTTGGAGTAGGATGGACCAAATGGAGACAGGCTAGTGGTATCCTATGTGATAGAAAAATACCAAACAAGTTAAAAAGAATTTTTTAAGGATGGTCAATAAGCCAATTATTTTTTTATAGGGCAGAGTGTAGGACGTTAAAAATGAAACCAGAACAACTCGTTCATGTAATTGAAATGAGGATGTTGAAGAGGATGATAGGAGTGACTAAAAAAGATAGATTTACTAATCAAAGTGTGAGCCAGAGATTACAAATAACACCTATTTGTGACTGAATAATAGAAAATAAACTGAGGGAGTATCGACACAGAGAATGTAGACCTGTTGATGCGCCGGTAAGAAAAAGGAAGGCTAGTTTGCATACTCCCTCCGTCCCACAAAAAGTGTCCACCTTTCCATTTTTGGCTGTCCCAAAATAATTGTCCCAATTCAAAATTTAATGTAGTATTTTTTTAATATTCCTAATTTACCCTCCTTGCCTTGAAGTTATAAAAGCAATTAAAGTTTGAAATTAAGACCTCATGTAGACCCACCATAGAGGGGTATATTTGGAAATTCATTCCCTATCACTATAATTAAAAACATTAATAAACAAGATTATATAGTATTGCCGTTAATAAACACGCCTACATAGTCGACTGCTATCGGCTTGATAGCAGCGGGATTATATGGGATGTGCATTTTCGGCGCTCTTTTCAGGATTGGGAGATGGACGAGGTATGTGTTTTTTTGGATCTTCTGTATCGACAGGAGGGCGTTGGTAGAGGTAATGATGTTTTATGTTGGGTTCCCTCTTCTCATGGTCGTTTCGAAGTTAGATCTTTGTTCTTATGTTTGTCAAATTTTGTTAATCGAGACTTCCCGTGGAAAACTATTTGGCGGTCTATGGCTCCAACTAGGGTGGCTTTCTTTGTTTGGACTGCTGTGTGGGGAAAGATTCTGACAATTGATAATTTGAGAAAAAGGGGCAATTGTATAGTTAATCGCTGTTGTCTATGCAAGGATGGCGAGGAGTCCGTTAACCACCTCCTTTTGATTGCCCTGTGGCGATTGACTGTTGGAATCTTATTGTTGGGTTGTTTGGCATGTGTTGGGTTATGCCACGATCTACTAAGGAATTGATTCATAGTTGGAGAGGTTGTCGAGTGAGGAGACGTTCGCGAGTTCTGGAGAATTGTACCACATTGCGTATGGTGGTGCATTTGGAAGGAGAGAAACAGCAGAATGTTTGAAGGAAAAGAGTCGCCTACGGAAACGGTCAAACTTTACATTCTTCGTTCTCTCTTCAATTATGTGAAGAAGAGCTTTTGTTCTTCTTCATATGATTTAATTACTTTTCTGGATTCTTTGGGGCCTTAGCTCTGGTTCCACTTTTGTAATTGGGACGCGTTCTCCTTTTGAACGCCTTTTTTAATATTATTTTTACTTATCAAAAAAAATAAAAAACATTAAAAACTACTTTTAAAAGTTAAATTCCCAAAAAGGGACACTTTTTGTGGGGCGGAGGGAGTATAAGTTAAGAGACAACGAGACCAACAAAAAATACATGGAATGGAGTAATTTTAAGCGACTTCAAAAAATTAAATATTAGAGGAGACATGGGGTATAATAGAGTAGAATGGAAAAAGAGAATTCATTTGGCCGACCTCATTCATTTGGGAAAAAGGCAAGGATGATGATGATGATAAAGGACTACTGGAACTGTTTATTTTTGGGTCTTTTGTGGCTAAAGTCAAGAAGGGTCGTAGTGGGTGTAAGAAAGGAAGGGCTTAAATTAGGCAAGGGAGACCAGAATTTTTGGGTCTCTTCTACTTCTCAAAATAAAAACAAATAAATAAGGCCTCATTTGGCAACCGTTGTTTTTCTTTTTCAATTTTGTGATAAACAGAAGCAGTGCTATGCTGTGCTGTAATATTTGTCAAAAGCAATAGCACTTTTGGTAACATACATCTGTTGTTGAATTTCAGGAAAGCAAAAAATAGAAAACATGTTTGGTAATGGCAAAAAAATAGATGTCTGTTTTTGAGTCCATTTAATTGAATGAACAACATCTCTTTACATCTAAATATCAATACATTATAGATAATGAAATAAGATTGACATTATAATAAAAGATATTAGCTGCCAATATTGTAATGCAACATGTATGTCCACAAGCATAAAAGTACTGAAGAGTCACCACCACCTTACTTGGAGCCACCACAAAGTTAAACAAACAGATAAAATTTAAAGTTTACCAACCATAGTTTAAAGTTTCTGGATTCCTCAAGAGTCACTACCTAGCAAACAAGAAGTAACAAAACACCCCACTACAAGTAAAGAGTCACCACCAACCACTTGAACAAGTCCCATAGAGTCTCTCCCGCACATGTTGATTATTTACCTCTTCCTCCTATTTTCTGGAACTTGAAGAAAGAACTCCCTCCATGCAACATCATCATAGATCTTTGATAAGGCTTTCGCATAATATGCATCATTAAGGCCTCAATAGCATCTAATGCCGTGACGGATTCATCAACCACATGACCAGTGGAGACAATGCTCCATTTCGAAGAGGTTTTGGCCAGTAACACTTTCTCTAGTGCCTTAGCCTTCCCTTTTGAATTCTCAGTGAATGTAGCCATAACCTGACCAACAACTTACAATGTGGGATTTAGGGTTTAAATCAACTAAACAACTGACAAATTGAAAAATCAAATTCAAATTATATGCTAAAATTTACACCTTAGACAGTCTCTCTCCTATCATCATCCATTGCCATTGTCCCAATGATTGGTTAAAAAACAGCTCGAGTCTCTTGTGACAATTTTTGAAGTTTTTGGCGAGTCCTTAATTGATGGAACTTGTTCCTAATTTGGGTTCTGCTGTACTCTATCCCAGTGAAACGTTTCATTCCATCCATGAGGTTATTTTAACCAGTTGGAGAAAATGTAGTGGTAATCCTATTCCCTTTCTTAATTTCCTCCTCTATCAACCGATGAACCTCTCTTCTTTTGTGTCATCCCATATTTTTTACCTCATCACCTCCAACCCCCACTACATCATCTTCTACATTCATGTGTATTCTATCAATCATAAATCACTAATTGAGACATTATTCAATAAAAATACCGATTTCAAATCCATCAATCCAACATCTCACAGCATAATAGGAAAAAGGGGGAAAGAAGTAACTCCTTCATGTTTCATAGAATAACCATGATAACGAACCCTGTAATGCATTCTGTTTTAGCTTACATATCTAGAGAACTAGTTTTGTACCCATTCTGTTCTTCACATATCAATTTGACCATTTTTAATCAAATAAAAGGGTTGAATAAAATTCTGTTGAATGGCTCTCTTCAAATAAAAGTGTTGAACAAATTTTATCAATCTGCTTAGACATGCAGGAAGACATGCACCATCCATAATGAGTGAATACATGCTAATACGACTAGTACACATTGGTAACAAGCTGGAAGCCTGAAATCAAACAAGGTGCCTATGGCTTTTTGTGAAGTCTTGTTGTGTTCACTGTTTTGTCATTTTTAGTATAAATATGAGTGGCTTTGTATATATACTAGAGAATTTTGTTATGTGAGACTCGAATGTATATGATACTCAAAAAATTGGTTAGGGAAAATTTAATTTTGATAGAAAAAATGATTTACTTGAGTTGAGAAGGTACAAGAGAATTGCAAAAGATGCTTTGTCTTCACCAGCTTTGTATATATACTAGATAATTTTGTTATGTGAGACTCGAATGTATATGATACTCAAAACGGTTAGGGAAAATTTAATTTTGATAGAAAAAATGATTTACTTGAGCCGAGAAGGAACAAAAGAATTGCAAAAGATGCTTTGTCTTCACCAACTTCCCAATCCCCCCCACATCTCCTCTTGAGTCTTGATGAGACTCAAACTCCAGCCTAAATGTAATTCCACCACTTTTCTATTCGAGAATGAATCATCTTGATTTATTTAAAAGAGATATATTCCAATCTGTTCAAGTTATCATTTACTTAATTCAGTCAAAAATATAGGTTCCAGGCCATATTTGTACAATCTAATCATGTAATCAAATTCATGTTTCTAAATAATTTGTATAGAAAGAGGGGTTAAAAATTGAGCAAGGAATAGAACCATGCTTCATGTTACAATTAGGAACTCACTGTGTTTTCATAAACTTCCATTACTTTTCCATGTCAATTCACTTCATGAACAAGTAATAACCATATATTGAATTAAAAGTTCAGTTGGGATCTCGGAAGTGGAACACCAACCTGCTACAAGATGGGTCCTCACCAGAACCATTCTATAATTTTCTACTTTTACATTCTATTTGTAAAACACACCAGGTCTATCCAGGTTTATTTTTTTTAGGCTTTATCAAGAATCTCTCTCAACAACATATTTTTTAAACATACATGCACAGATAACACAAATTATACGTGCACAGATATAATAGCAAGAGACAAACATGATTTTTAGTAGATCTAAAAAACCCTAAGTAAGAGCTTCCAGTTTTACTGATTTATGATAGAGAAGAGTGAGCTGCAAATCGACTCCAAAACAAAGAAAAATTGTAAATCTGAAAACTAGTGTTTCAGATCTACAATCAGTAAACTGGTGACAGAAAGAGGTGGTACCTTGCAAATCTGACGGTTTCAATGGCGTCAGCAGCGAAATGAATGAGCTTGGTCAGCGTTGGCAGTGAAAGGAATGAGCTTTGTTGGCGCATCGGCAGTGCTCTGATACCGTGGTAAGGTTGAGAGAGACGAGTGAGAGTGAAAGAGATGAGTGGTTGAGAGAGAACCAATGATCCATTTGGATCTCTATCTTAAACAACAGAGAGCCTGTATTTTTAATTGGCACTATATCTCCCCAATCTTGCCAATAAAAGTAGAAACCCAGTTTTGGAAGCATCGTTTGGACGCTTAAAAAATTCCACAACTGTGCCTAAGAAAATGAAACAGTGCTTTTAACTTTTAGACATTGAAAGTGTAGCTATCAAACGCGTTTCATGCCCCCGTTTCTCATTTTTGTCATTTTCACAGCAGGAAACAAAAAACCAAAGTGATTACCAAACACACCCGAAGTAAAACCCTTGGGATTTTCTGGGTTACCCTGGAAAAAATAGCTGAGGGACTGGCTGTTGTGTGATTCTTTGGGTACTAAAGTTGATAATCTTAAGTAGGTAAGGAGTCGAGATTGTAAAAATAAGATCTGAAGGAGTATAAAGGAGCTCACCATCTAGAAGAGATTACCAAACACACCCGAAGTAAAACCCTTGGGATTTTCTGGGTTACCCTGGAAAAAATAGCTGAGGGACTGGCTGTTGTGTGATTCTTTGGGTACTAAAGTTGATAATCTTAAGTAGGTAAGGAGTCGAGATTGTAAAAATAAGATCTGAAGGAGTATAAAGGAGCTCACCATCTAGAAGAGAGGTTTTAAATTTTGAAAGTGCAGAAAATTGAAGAGATGAAGAAGGAAGAAGATGACGGAACTCAATAAATTACTTCTAGAATTTCATAGGCATCGCAACTGTGGGTAAAATTTTATTATACAACTCTAAAAGAGCTTGGAAGGTGATAAAAATAATCTAAAAATTCTTTATTGAATTGAACCTTTAACTAATCTAACTCTAATGTATTGATTTGAACTCCATATATGGAAGCTCAGAGAATTTGGCTGGTATGACTCCTATAAACTTACTATAGTTCACACTTCACGGATAAAGATGACCACAGCTTAACCAAAAGATGTCCGACAGACAACAAATGCTCGATCCTCTAGTTAATGTAGAAATAAATATTAGTAATAATAATAATAATAATACCTTTGACTGCAAAAACATAAATAAAATTAGACTAGTTGCACACTACCTTAAAAAATCCTAAGCTAAGACAGCAGTATTCAAAGTTATGCAAACTCTGAAGTGTACTCCCATCGTTTAACATGTTCCGGATCACAGTTTTGGGCCTAGAAGCATCTTTTCATGCCTTTGATATGTTTTTAGAGGTTGCTGCCACTTTTCTGTCAACCTGCCTTGGAAATGAACATTCTCTACTTTGCTATAAAACAAGGTTAATGGCTTCCAACTGCAGGATCATAATGAAGTGGTGACTGATAGGTGAAGGAAGAACTTGGCCCCTTCTTAAATAATCGCTAGGAAATTGAACAGATAGCCATTGAACCATTTCCAGTGCATTTCCGCTTTTCTAAGATTGATGAACAGAAGCTCTAAGCCACCATGAGAAAAACCAGTTGCCAGGACTTTTTTTTTTTTTTCAAAGATTCTTAACAAATAACCTAAAATTGTTCATTATTAATTTTTTTAAAAAGTTGGAGATATATAAAAATGAGGAAAGTATGATAAATTAATCCCATAATTGATATATCAGCATAATTTACCTTCATTTTTTTTGCTGCATAACCTCCATACTGTATAGAGGTTGCACAAATACAATTGTTGGAATGGGTGCAATGAAGTCTAGAGTTGACATGGAGCTATCCATAGTAACTTAATGGATTATTGTTGGTTTTTTTTACGCTCCCATTTACTTTCACGTGCTTTGCCACCATGTTATGAGAAGCTAGAGAAGTTTTGGTATTGAACTATTTATTTATTTAGAACTAAAACATGAATTAGAGCTATAGAGGCTTTTAATTGTTCAACTTTGGTTGCTCTAAGAGTGGAATGAATTTTTGGATGTTCTCTTTTTGTTTGCCTGTGTGGCAATTCATTTCATATCTTGAATGTCCTTATTTTCAGGTTTGATGATGCATATGACTTGCTGAATGAGATGTTTACAAATAGGGTATCCAATATTCATCAAGTGATTGGACAAATGATCAATGGAGATTATGATGATGACTCGAACTGGCAGATGGTGGAGTATATCTTTGACAAACTCAACTCGGAAGGCTGTGGGTTGGGAATGAGGTTCTATAATACACTTTTAGAAGCACTTTGGTGGCTGGGCCAGAAGGAACGGGCAGCCAGAGTTCTCAATGAAGCAACAAAGCGGGGGCTTTATCCCGAACTATTGCGTATGAACAAACTTGTTTGGTCTGTGGATGTGCACAGGTATGATGGACCTTATCCGCTTCTTTTTTCCTAGAAAGGGAATAAAAAATACGAACCTCGCCAAGTTGTGTTTATTTAGGTCTATTGAATTATGGATGTTTATCATTTCACAGGATGTGGGCAGGTGGTGCATGCACAGCAATATCAGTTTGGCTCAACAATATGTATGAAATGTTCAAAAGTGGGGAGGACCTTCCTCAATTAGCAAGTGTCGTCGTTGTGTAAGCTCTTTTATACTCTCTTTATAACTCATTTTTTCTTCTTTTGTTGGTGGGGGTTGGGGGAGGGTGGGTTGTGCTCTTGCATTCAGCTTTGCATATTAACTTTGTGGTCCGACGGCTCCAGCCCAAGTGATTTACCATGGAAAGTTTCAGTTGCTGGGCTGTTAGGACTAGCCATTCCCAGGCCTGTACCATATATGTTGTCAAAGTGCATCATAATGCCTGAACTAAGTTTGTAGTGAGAACTAGTTTGAACCTTCGTAGTTTAGGCATGTCTGGACTTCGCTTGTATTTGGGGGAAATTTTGCTTCAGCTGTTTCTGGGCTACAAATAATTTGTCTTCATGAAATGTTATATGGATTTTGCACGTCGGCATTGGTTCATTGCATCTGTACTTGTTCTAATGTTGGTTTGCATGAGGAATTGTCTATTGTTATGGATATCTAAAGCACATGATTTATTGCCACTGCTGCATACTGGCAGAAAAGCTATGTTAAAATGCTACATGAACTCAATTGTTTTACTCCCTCTCTGTCTCAGCCTCAAATTAAATTGAAGATACTTATCTTGTTTTCTTAATGATCATGATATATATTCTGTTGACAGAAGGGGACAGATGGAGAAGAGCTCAATAACACGAGATTTTCCTATTGCGAAGACTACCTACTCTTTTCTGAAGGATAATGTTTCACCATCTTTTGTTTTCCCTGGGTGGAACAAGGGGCGGATTATCTGTCAGCGGCCTCAGCTCAAACGGATTCTATTGGGTTCTGAACAATCTTCAGGAGGGTCCAAAAAGGATAAGCTAATTACCTTGAGCAACTCTCCGTCTCCTCTTTCCGGGACAAGAACATTGAAAAGTGATACGAAGAGAGACCAACATGGTAGTGCTAAAACTGAAACAAGAACTAGAACGGCAGTGCAGCTCATGACAAGCGCAGTTTAAACAGATAAAACAAAATCTGCATCTCATTGTTCAGGGCTGCTAGGTTTTCTGCGAATTCATGGCCCAACTTAAATCGGAAGAAACTGAGGATCTGAGAATCCTATTCTGATTTACACAACAATGTTTCCTCTTGGCAGAGAATGATTTTGGTATATGTTGTGCTGAATCTCAGCTTACCAGATGTTGAGAATGGCTGGATTGCGTTTACAGTGCTCGTGACTCGGTGAAGAACAGTTGGGGTGGTTACTTGGTGGTTCGTTTGAAGCCAATTTTGGTCCCTGGCTTTAGTAGCATGGAAAAATTAACAGAGGGAGAGAAGGATTTTGATTTTGTTCTCTCTAAATGTACATGTATCCTTTTAACATTTTTGCTAATTCTGTTGGGAAATGTTAAAGAATAGAATGTTAGATTTGATCCATATTTCATACAAGGGATGATATCTACATGCATTTAATAAGAAATTTAAAAGAATTCACTTCATTTATTATTTATTTATATTCATACCGTTTCATAGGTAAGGTGTGACGGTCCACATCGTCTGAGAGGGAGAAGTTTCTGGCATTTATACCCCATTTTGAGCAAAACAGACAATGTCTACATGGATTGGGGTGGGTCGTGACAAATTATATTAAAGTTCAATCTCCAGCCGAAAATGAAGGGTGTGCACAAGCTCATGCCGGTTAGGTCAGCGAGGGGTGTGATTGTGACCTCCTACATTGTTGGGGGGTGTGTTTTGATCAAAACTGTGAACACCAAGAGGAGAGCGTGCAAACCGGATAATATTTACATAAGTTGGACGGGTTTTGACACTGGGCAGGAAGCTCTAGATTGGATTGGCTCCTTATAATGTCATATTGATAATCACCTGTAGTGTATCACTTGCTAGTTGCTGCATATCTAATTAAGAGATGGTTAAATGGTTTTTTTTAACAGATGGCTAAGTGGTTCAGTGATCATAATTCACTTAAAAAAGAAAATAATTAACATATAGCCAATTAGTCATGGGTTAAATCATTTTAAACCCAATTTGGCAAAAAAAAAAATAATAATAATAAAAAATAAAATAAAAAAGGTGCATGAACTGGGTGGATTCATTCGTGGTCTAGTAATGGAGGTAGCACTAGGGCTTTAGCAATAATAAAGAAGAGAAAGTGTTTCACTTTCACTGGCTGTGAGATGGAGTTCAAAAGAGAATATTTTCAGTCAACAACAAGGTGGATTTTAAAAAGTATGGAAGAACCCAAGTGGTAGAATAATCATAGAGGATTAACATTATTGAAACAAAACAAGTTTGGATGGAAAAGAGTACAGGTTGCAAAGATAATGTTTCATATAAATATATAATTAAGTATAGTTTATGGATATCCCAAATAACTTTACAGGTTTTGATCTCTTCCTCTCTCTCTCTATATATATAGCATTTATCTAACTATTTCTCACAGAATCCATCCTTTATTAAACTAATATTGCTAATAATACTTGTAATCTTGAACCTAGATAGCAAAAATTATTGGCTTTATTTGAAGGTTTTTTTTTTTGGCTGTAAATGTTTCTAGCAATGATGATGAATTTGGGGCAATCAAATCCATCTAAAGATGTTATCATTGCCCTATTGGAGACAATATTGTTTGTCTACTTGAATTTTTTTATAATAAAAAAAGAGAGAAAAATGAAAAAAATGTGGTAAAAGTGGTAAACTTTGAAAGCAGTCACTTTGAGAGAATATATATATATATATATACTCCAATTAAATATAATTTCCATGTGACACTTGCACTTGAAAAGGAGGTTTTTTCCATCCAATTGTTTATGTACAAGCGCATTGTTTAGAGCAGCCGGAATGAAGAATCCGCTCTCTACATTTGTAAAGTACAGAGACAATGAATTAACGTGACTTTCTACTTAAATTGATCAGTTCAGTCGATATGGTATTAGCTAAACTGGCTACTTATATTGTTATTTAATGGGTCCGTCAAGCCAACTTCCTTGTTAGTAAAGAGTCATTTGAACTCAATGAATTAATCTGACTCTCCGCTTAAAATGATTAGTTCAGTCATTCGGTGTAGTGTTAGCTGGACTGACTACTTATATTATATTGTAATTTAATGATTCCGTCCGGCCAACTTCCTTGTTAACAAGCTTACTAAAAAAAAAATTATGTGAGGCACGCCATGTAATGAATTCCACCCGGCCTGCCTTGCCCCTTCTAAACAAGATTTTAGCTCGCTACAAAACAATGATTCTGAATGCTCTTGAATAAATAGTAATGAAGAATTTTAGTGTTATAGCATCCACTTTTGCATAGGCCAGATGCATTTAAAATTATGTAATCAAAATCATTCCTCTTTACTTTTTCTTTATTCAGCACAGTTCAAGAGATTGTTGTGAATTTGGCCAGGCACATTAAAAAAAGGTTAATGTAATTCGTCACAACTTTTAATTTTGTGTGACAAAAGAGCCCACTCTTAATTGGAAATTTAATAATTTTTGGGAAAAAATGAAAATTTAATATTTTACTTTTTACCTTGCCAATAAACTCATACATTCATTATGTTTTTAGTGGGAATTTAACGCTTTACCTTCCCCCAAAAAATAAAAATAAAAAAACACTAATTAAACTTTGAGCAGTGATAGGAATCGAAAGGTATCCCCCGAATTAGTCACCGAACCTGACATGGTCTGACCACGTCAGATTCTCACCCATGTGCAGGTAAAAGAAAAAAAAAAGGGAGGTGGGAAGATGATCGTGAAAAATGAATACCCGAAAGCTTAGAAGTCTCCAAAATTAGAGAAAACTTATCTTTATCCCTTTTTTTTTATTATTATTTTTTTATTTAAGGAATTGACTTATCTTTATCTTGTTATGTAGTATCTTTTAGAATTTTTTTTCATAATTGATGTATATTAGAATTTACACTAACTAGATATATTAAATTAAATCACTGTACCGATTGAATTCCTGTTAGAGAAGAAAACTTATTCAAAACCCTAGTTAGAGAGAAAGAGCCAATCCCAAATCAAATAGTGATGTTGTGAATACTCCCGAATTTTTGTGCGTGATTCGAATACAAAATGATTATGTAATTCTTAAAATCAGATCATTTAGTAATATCTAAATTAAATTTGTAGAAAAAAATCTTTGAATATTTATGATCTATTATTACTAACATATATGTAATTGTGTGTATATATATATATATTTCTATTTGTATATACCTACCTTCTTCTAGTCATCTTCACAGTTGTGTTTATCGCTACATTACCTTGTCAAATAATTTTTTTTTAAGGGGTGAGCTAAGCACGTGATGGCTCTTTTATCCTTCACGAGCAAAAAGTTTTAGAAAATCTAACATGCCAAGTAATGTTAAATTCCATCATTTTTTTGAGGGTTACCCTTTGGCCCCTTACAATTTTCCTTAAACTTTTTACTTAAAAAAAAAAAAAAAAAAATGTATCAGTACCATGACACGAATAAGATTCAAATGAAGGGGAGTTGAGCCTATACTGGATCGAGATATCAAAGATTTGTCCTATCATTCAAGATACGAATAAAATTCAAATAAAGTCTATACACACGATACACTAAACACTGATTATCCAGATATCAAATATCTGTTCTGCCATTCAATTACGCTTCGCAGCGGAGTCAAAAATAATCAATTTTCTTCACCCTTAAGGAAACCCTTATGGATGCAGAAAAGAAAAAGTGAACAATCACGTGTTTAAAATCGAATGAGAGGAACAAATATCAATGTCAAGTTGACAAATAGTGAAAGCAAAAGGTGAAAACAAACATGAAACATGTATGTAAAGCTGTCACAACAATAATAAAATCCAAGTTTAGGAAAAGAAAATAAAAATGAAAAAAGTCATATACCAAACCAAACAGCCTCTAAATGACACTTGGAAACTAAAAGATCCTCCTCCTAACCAACCCAACATCACGATGAGGCAGACAACACCTTATCTCTTCCCGCCTTATCCTTCTTCACTAAGCGCGCCCCACCAATGAAGACTATTATTTTTATGTCGGGCTACAGTCACATCCCTTGAATTTGACAAAAAGATATTCCAAAAAATCTTATTTATTTTTTTGGATAAAGATATCTTTGATGGTTCAAAAATAGATAAAGACAATTCTTTACGTGAAAAATTGACCAAATTACCTTTTAACTATTTAGAAGACTTTTTTAACTTTATAATTAAATAAATTGGACCAACCTACCCTTATAAACAATTTATGCATAAAAAAAAAAGTAAAAAAAAAAACTTTATATTGTTTACTTTTTTTTTTTTTTTTTTTTTTTTTGTTATTTACTTTATAAATGTCTCAATTTCTTAAAAATGTAAATGTTTAAAATAAATTATATTTTGTTATTACTTCTTTTCTTTTTATTTTTTTATTTTTAAATTAAGATACTTAATTCTTTCATCTAAAAAAATTAAATCAATTTCTATTCTTTAAAAATAAAAAATATGATACCAGTATAACTTTATGCATCTAAAATTATATATCAAATATTATGCATTTTCAACGTAAAAGAAAATACTACATCTCTTCTTTATCTCAAATGCATTCTCATGATTAAAATTATAAAATTTTCCTCATGCTTATGATTTTGATGCTTTGATCCACGTATAAAAAGTTACAAAGAATCAACTTTCACATATCAATTTTTTTCTATTCGCACGCCGGGGGGGGGGGAGTTTGGGGGTGGTTATGAGGTTTTGAATTAGTATGAAGTTAGTGGTGGTGTGTGCATTTGTTTAGCTTCAAGGAGGTACCAAGCAGCGGAAAACAAGTTTTAACTTCTTCTTTTTTTTTTTTTTTATGCATAAATTGTTTATGAGGGTAGATTGGTCCAATGTGTTATATTGTAAAGTTAAAAAAGTCTTCTAAATGGTCAAAGGGTAATTTGGTCAATTTCTCATGTAAAGGGGTGTCTTTATTCATTTTTGAACCTTCAAGGGGTGTCTTTGTCTAAAAAATAGGTAAGTTTCTTCCGAATGTTCTTTTATCAAACCTTAGAGGGTGTGACTGTACTTTATATAGAGATAATATAATTTTATACACAAGAAGTACGTATAAAAAATACTTAAGAGTTCAGTAATCAATAGATTCAACAAGATTATAATTTTGTGATATTTTTTCATCTTTATTTTGTTTTACTATATATATATTTTTTAAAATTTATTTGTATTTTACTTTTTAAGTCAAATCTAGTAAATCACTCATCGGTCTTTCTTAAAAGCATCACTTCTACGTATTTACGTGTAAGAATGACAAAATATCCTGTCTCATTTCATCCCGCACCGATAAGAATGGTTACAATGGTTGTTAAATAATTTTGGAATAAAGATGGAGATTAGGATTGAAAATCTGCATGGTTATGAAGCGGGTTGGAAAAAAATCAACCCGTCCCGTCCCGTTTATAATGATAAATTATAATTTTATCTTTATATTTTATTTTATATTCAATAATATTAGATATATATTCAATAAATCATATTTTATTTTATTCCAATCACTAAATATCCTTTTGTATTATTTTTATTTGAGAATTTTTATATATTATTTTGATGTTGTTACATTAATATTAAGTTTCAATTGAGAAGTTAAATCTTGTTTTTATTCGTATAAGAGAAAATAAATTATTACCGTAGTTGAAATTTTGTTTTATTAGATTCGTAATACAATTATGAAGGTACCCTACAAAACTCGTCCCTGCTTGGCCAAGCCCCTGCCTGTCCCGTTTAATAAATGATTTTGGATGAGAATGGAGGTAGCTTTGCTAAATTGGGATGGTGGTAGCTATGCTAAACAAAAATGGGGATAGGGATCGCGTTTTCGGGAGCGAGCACGCTCCCACTCTCACTGTCTGTGCTTTCTCTCGCTCCCATTTTTATTATTTGTGATTTAATTTTACCATTTTTACAGTCTAATTCTAAATTCACTCAAACTCTCACTTTACATGACTTAGCTTAAAACACTAACAAAAAATTCCTATCATTCTTTGCAATTTCCTCCCAAACAGAAAAGGAATTTCCATGCATTTTCTTAGACGCTTATTGGCAATTGGCATTAGCGTCTCCCAATGACGAGAAAAAGTCAGCCTGATTATTATAAAGACGAGAGAGGGGGCTGCATTTCCCAACCAATGGTCCGGAAAGTCCATATAAATTTCTTTTTGTTTTTAGGTTATTTAGGTCAATGTCACTTACTTATTATTAATGCATCACTTTCATTATCTCCCTCTCTTGTTATATATATATATATATATATATATATATATATTCCAATCTCATTGGATGGGATTTTTTATTTTATTTTTTGCACTAGTGTAAGGAGCACGCATATGAAGATACAACACAAATAGGTTCACAGCACGTCAAATTCTAAGAAAGATGCTTAAACATAATTAATGTAAAAATAAATTTTTATTTATGTATCTAATGAACGAGATAATTATACAATTTTAATTACTTTACAATTTTTTTTACTAAAGTTACATTTATTAAAATATAAAAAAGAATGTGTTATATATATATATATAGATATATATATCATATTATGGTCATGTATTTGTTTTTTAGACGGTGAATATTGCATGTCCATAATATTATTTTTAGAATTGTCATATGTTTATTTTACATACATATATATATATAATATGAATAGTGTAGAATATATTGGTTGGGCTATCGGTAGGGATGGCAAATTCCCCATCCCGGCCAGGGCCTCACCCCGCCCCGTCCCGTTTATAGTGGAGATGGGAATCTTTTAGTTAAACGGGGATGGGGATGGAAGCAATTTATCAATCCCTGCCGAAGCCTGGGGCTGGGGTGAGGATGAGGTAAACCCGCCCCACCCCGCCCCGATTAGGTGTGAAGTTACTAATATACCTTTATATATAATAATTTATTAGTAAATTAGATTTATTATATATATGAAAATAAGAAAAAATACGTTTTTTTTAATAAAAAAAAATTATGAGGCCGGGGCGGGGCGAGGACGGGGATAAGGTGTCGGAGGCGGGGGCGGGTATGGGGATTCTGGCAAAATTTTAAGCGGGGATGGGAAATGAAAAATGCATCGGGGATGGGGATGGGGAATGGAATCTCCGCCTCACCCCACCCCGTTGCCATCCCTAACTATCGGAATGTGTTGACTAAGCAGGGATGAGGGATCGATCGACCCATAAAATATTATAAGGGGGACAATAATTGGGTTTTATTTGTAATTTGTAGGGGCAATACTAAAAATTTATAGGTATATATAATTTTTTTTATTATAAAATCAATATTATATATAATACTTAAAAAAATAAATTCACTGGGACAATTGCCCCACGACGCCTCATTCATTCTTAGTATTTAAGGTGTTGTGGTGTATTGTAACGTTTCCCTAACACAATAAATAATGATGTTGGAGCACAATTTATTGTGTTGAACAATGTTTTAACGCAATTATTTCTAAACTTAAACATAATTATTTCACGTGTTAAAAAATAGAGATTTCAACAACATTATTTTGAGTTTCAACATCATTATATTGAAATTAATTAGCGTCTTATTTTAAAATTAGATGAAATTAAATTAAAATTTAATCGATTTCAAATTTAAGGCCCGATTCAATGCTCCAAAAACAGAGAGCAGGGTAATTGATTAACCTTGAGAAGAGAGGATCTGATCCCATGTTTATTACTTCATTGCAAGTTGATTGATATTTTTGATGCTCCTAAAACAGAGCAATCGTACCACCATTCGGATAAACCGTTAACAAACTGCCACGTGTACCAATATGCAAACACTACCCATCATATTTGTATATATATATATGTACAACACACACTCACATGCATATATTACACACAGTGCATTCATTTTGTTTTCGTCAACCCATTGTACGGCCTTCAGATACCATTTGAGAACCACCACGACCACCACTTCACGGTTTCAATTCATTCGCTTCCACACAATCGAATCGAGAATATGTCCTCTGGCGGAGACAGTGGTGGCTCCGGCGAGATCATGCTCTTCGGAGTCCGAGTCAAGGTGGACCCGATGAGGAAGAGCGTCAGCATGAACAATCTGTCGCAGTACGAGCAGCCTCATGAGTCGTCGACGAACGTAGAGGTCGCCGCTGGTGGTGGTTACGCGTCCGCCGATGACGCCGTCCACCACCAGTCCTCCGGCAGTCGCGAGCGCAAGCGAGGTTAAATCTCCGATCTCCTCTCTTTCACCTTCTTGTTTTTGCTAATTGATCACTTTTTTTTTTAAAGTACAAATTTTCTATTTGTTTTGCAATTTGATTACTTTATCTGATATTTCTATATCATCAATATAAAGATTATAGATCTGATTCTCGATTTATTTCCCTAATTTTTTTTTTTATAATTTTCAAGTTATTTCGTGCAAAGATTGTTAATTGTCTGATCTATTTTCTATACTGTGTGGATGGATATATATATATAAAATTATTAACATACATAGACACAATTACATGTATATCAATTTCCGGTTTTTTTTTTAAAATTTTATTTTTTTGGAATCCATTTTCTATATTGTGTATATAATATATATGTGTTTGTAAATATTCACATACATGGACACAATTACATGTATATCAATTTCTTTTTCTGGAATTTTTTTTTTTGGAAATGCTTTAATTCAGTATGTATTGGTAGCAAAAAGATTAGTTTGCATGTAGAAATTATTAATTTGTTTTTTTTTTTTTTGGGAATTTTTATATCCACAAATGGTTGATTTTTATGTTGATTTGGGGATTAGGAGTTCCATGGACTGAAGAAGAGCACAAGCTATTCCTGTTGGGATTGCAAAGAGTAGGCAAAGGAGATTGGAGAGGAATCTCAAGGAACTTTGTGAAGACTCGCACACCCACACAAGTTGCTAGCCACGCTCAGAAGTACTTCCTCCGGCGGAGCAACCTTAACCGGCGTCGCCGTCGATCCAGCCTCTTTGACATCACAACTGATTCGGTAATTTAGGCACTAATAATCACTCCATTTTTCTTCTAATTAATACCTGTTTCTTTAGTTTATTGATTGAAACCAGTTTTCGAGCTTTGGAAAATATATGAATTGGAGTGATAGTGCTTTAGGGTCGATGTGTTTGCTGAATTTCTATGGGTCTTAGGAATCTTTTGGGTAGTCTGAGTGATCTGTTTCTCTGTGATTCTTGCTAATGCTATTTGGGTTTATTTATGGTTATGCAAATTTGGTCTGATCATTATTGCTGTTATGAGTTGAAGTCCTTACATGAGCATAAGCATTGGCAGTTGGTTCCCTTTGCCCAATTCACTCTCTGAAGCTTTAGGGTTTCCTGGTAGCATTTCTGTTTATAAATATTGGCTTCTTATATATTTATTTCAAATGTGTTTGGGTGTTTTTGGGGCTTTATGGTTCTATTATGGTCTGTGCCTGGGTTTTTTCTCGTCTTGTTTCTAATTGTTAGTTTTCTTTGAACACCATCTAATGACTAGTTTCCTTTATCAATGGAATTGCTTGCTTATCTAATATATATATATGTGTGTGTGAATTGCCTTGACTTTTTTTTTTTTTTCCCTTAGGAAGTGAGAAAAACAATTCCAAAATACTAATTACGATAGCTCTGAGGCAATTATTGGGATTGAGACTAATTAATAGTTGATAGTTGTGAGGCAATTATTGGGATTGAGACTAATTACATAGTTGATAGTTGTGAGGCATTTTTGGGATTTTGACCTTATTATCACTGGTGAGAGCAAAAACCCAAATCATTGTGAATTTCAGAAATGAGATGGTACTTCCAAAATACTAATCCAATGAAATACTTTTAGCATCTTAGTCAAATTCTTAGGGTTTAAACTTTTTGTATGATTATTAGCAGGATTCATTACTGTTGGGAGCAAAAACTATCCAAGAGTGATAAAATAGTTTGAAAATGCTAATTAAATGAATTACTTTTTGAATGTAAATTAAAATTTTAACTTCAAGCAATTTTCTGTATGGTGTTTAGGTAACTGCAGTTCCAATGGAAGAAGAAAAAGATCATCAAGATAATACATCTCAGGCCCTTCTGCCAACAACCCCGTTGTCTCAACCGGAGAATTCCAATGTCAGTGGATTTGCGGTGCCACCGTTTCCGGTGACTGTTGGTCCTGTTTTGTTACCGGCACAGATTGAGAATCCGATGGAAAACTTAACTCTAAGACAAGTTGATCAAGTGAACAATGCATCGACAAACCTTGTCCGTCCGATCCCTGTTCTTCCATCTCCTTATGCATCATCAACGAGGGATTTTAACTTAAATCAAAGCTTGATGATGATTGATCCGCTGTCGCTCTCTCTCAAGCTCTCCTTGTCGTCTGATGATCAGAATCAATCCTTGAGGCATTCGGCATTTCAGGTGATGTCAAGCTTTAGCAATGGAGATAGCATCATCAGTGTTACTTGAAAAAATATTACATTTGAAAAAAAAAAAAAATAGGTCCATAATTAGAGAGATTGGATTAAGAAAAAGATGATGAGATAATTAGTTTGACCAGAATTGTTGCTTTCTTATGTACAGACCAAAAAACTGTGATGTCTTGTTGTATTTGTTGTTTGTTTTATGCTACACTATTATATTTAGATTCCCATTTGTTTGGCTGTTTTTTATATGTAGTTGAAAACAATTGAATAGCACTTGGCAGTACTCTTTTGTTTTTGGTGATATGGATGGGTTTGTTCTAGGTGTTTTGTATGGCCTTGATCTGATAAAAATATTAATTGGTGTTGCTGGTGGTGAGTCATTGTCTTCCTTAAATAATTAAATTTTGTTGTCTTGGTGTTTGTGTGATTGAGATTTAGATCTTGTGATGGAATTGGATCCTCATTAATGTTTTTATTAAGTGGGTGATGGGACTTTTTATGTCTGGTGTAGGTGTTTGTATGTTTATCCATGGTTTTAGTTAGGATAATAAGATATGGTGTCCTGTGGCTCCATTGTCTGTTGATTTGACAGAATGGTTGATCTCTCTCTCTCCTACTAGAGTTTTTTAAATATAAAAAATTATTAGAGTTGAGTCAATTTGTTTAGGGGTTAACTATGTGAAATTATTAAATGACCTCGGAACTATTATCATGACCATTTGCCAGCTCATAAGCAAAAAGAGTTGAATTAATTTGTTTACGTGTCAATTATGAAAAATTATTAAATGGCTTCGGAACCATTATCATGACCATTCGGTAGCTCATGTAAGCAAAAAAGAGTTGAATTAATTTGTTTACACGTCAACTATGAGAAATTATTAGAGGATTTTGGAATCGTTATCATGACCATTCGCTAGCCGACACGGAAGTAAAGAAGTGTTGAATTAATTTGTTTGCGTCAAGTGATTTGGTGATGGAGACTCTATACTAATTTCTTGTTCAATACAGCCTCACCCCTACACTGTTGTGGTCCTCTCACATCCCACCCCTAGCTTTTATCTTTTTTCTGAAGGAAAAGTCTAATTTTAGGCTAACTTTGTGTTGGGTGCATGGCCACTCCGCAAAAATAGTAGCACTGTGGCGTGTTTGGGAAGTGTTATAATATTGGTATTTAAATATGGACTCATATTATCTTTGGAAAGACTAATATTATCGGTTTAGAATAGTTAATAACATTTCAGATTTTTTGGTCAAATTCATATCACCAAATTGAAAAATTATTAGACTAGAAAAATTATTAGACGGCTCTCGAATCATTATCATGACCATTTGTTGGCCGACACATAAGGAAAAAAAAGAGTTGAATTAATTTGTTTATGCGTCAACTATGAAAAATTATTAGATGGTTTCGGAACCAATATCATGACCATTCGCTAGCTGACACGGAAGCAAAAAAGAGTTGAATTAATTTGTTTACGCGTCAAGTGATTTGGTGAGGGGACTCTATACTAATTTCTTGTTAAATACAGCCTCACCCCTACACTCTGTTATGGTCCTCTCACATCCCACCCCTAGCTTTTATCTTTTTTCTGAAGGAGAAGTCTAATTTTAGGCTAACTTTGTGTTGGGTGCATGGCCACTCGACAAAAATAGTAGCACTGTGGCTTGTTTGGGAAGTGTTATAATATTGATATTTAAATATGGACTCATATCATGTTTGGAAAGACTAATATTATCGATTTAGAATAGTTAATAACATTTCAGATTTTTTGATCAAACTCATATCACCAAATTGAAAAATTATTAGACGAGAAAAATTATTAGACGGCTCTCGAATCATTATCATGACCATTTGTTGGCCGACACATAAGGAAAAAAAGAATTGAATTAATTTGTTTATGCGTCAATTATGAAAAATTATTAGATGGTTCCGGAACCAATATCATGACCATTCGCTAGCTGACACGGAAGCAAAAAAGAGTTGAATTAATTTGCTTACGTGTCAAGTGATTTGGTGAGGGAACTCTATACTAATTTCTTGTTAAATACAGCCTCACCCCTACACTCTGTTGTGGTCCTCTCACAACCCATAGCTTTTATCTTTTTTCTGAAGGAAAAGTCTAATTTTAGGTTAACTTTGTGTTGGGTGCATGGCCACTTGACAAAAATAGTAGCACTGTGGCCTGTTTGGGAAGTGTTATAATATTGGTATTCAAATATGAGTTCATATTATGTTTGGAAAGACTAATATTATCGGTTTAGAATAGTTCATAAAATTTCAGATTTTTTAGTCAAAACTATATCACCAAATTGATAACATTGTGTATTTTGGTAGAAGAACTAAAGTAATTTTTTAATTTTTCAAAACAAATTTTCGTTATCAAACATAGTTTCAATTTCTACCCAAAACACTCATACAACAAAATAATTGTTTTGGTATTGACCAAAAACATAATGCTTAAAACACATTGCATGCCAAACGGGTTAAATATTGTTTGTTATGGTATTGGTTCTCTTCTTTCAGGTTAATTTTGTCGTGTAATAGCTGGTTAATCACGAGCTATGAATATGGGCATTATTCAGTGGTCTAATTGGTAGAGCGTCCAGCTCCCCGAACGAGTGTGCATGTTCGAGTCCGAAGAAAAATAAAAAAATCACGAGCTGTAAACCACTAAAGATTTAGATTAAGTGGCATATTTTATGTCTGTTACCAATCTGTGTACCATACTATCATGCCATTCTTTATGTCTTTTGAGGCCTTAATTCCATAAACCAGCATTTGAAGTCTCTCAATCGGATTTGTATTAAATAAAATTAGCATGACACATCCTTTCCAGTTTCCACACACTGATCATCCTACATTATATATATATATTTTTTTCTGATGGTAGCGTAGCTGTAGCCCTCCGGGAGAATTTCAGGTCGTGACTTTAAAAAACTTAGCCTTCAAAACGTGACGTGAGAACTTTATAATTTGTTCGTTGTCAATTTTGCCTAGTACAACCCTCCTCATTTGTTCGGATTTGTGACCAACTAAGCAAGGACAGGCAGCGGAGTTACATGATTGAAATTTCTTAGCCAAAAACATGAAAAACAAAATTGATTGAAATTGTTGTTGTTTTGTCCTCATAATTCATGATAATGACACTTGTGTCAGTTAGCAGTAATAGAAGATAATTCCATGTCACTAATTATTAGTCAATATCACTAATTATTTATTTATTTTTTAATAGAAATGTAGTTTAATGGTAAAGAGAACTATAACTGGATTGGGATGGAATAGAGTACAATTTTAATATGATTAAATTGTGAAACATAAAGAGGTGACGAAAATATATTAAAGTTTAAAAAAAAAAAAAAAACTCTGTTTGAGAATCATGATCAGGCCCTCCCACCAAAGGAATCAACAAAGAAAAAGAAGTTTCTATGCTTAATCATAAACTTGTTCAAGCAAGCCAAGTATATCTTTCCCTTCAGCTGTGTTCATTGTAACCAACACACAGTTGGGGGAAATTTTTTTCATAATATTGATTCTATATTTATTCAGAGACTTCATTTTTAATAACAAAAGTACATAAAATAATAGGCCATTAAATATATAATCAAATAATCAATATGATAAACAGATACTGAATTTAAAGAGAGAAAAAAAAAAAAAACTCCCACCTATATATTGGAGAGGCACGCAGCCCTATGATGTCCTATAAAACTTTTATAGTCTCTCTACATATAGGTTCTGACTAAATACGAAACACTCCAAAATACAACTCTTATATTTTTCACGCTCATATTTGCACGAAGAAAATATCCCATTCCTACTGTGTCGAGTTGCCCAAAATAACCACAAATGAAATTAAGTATGAAATTGATCCAATATTTAGTAAGGAAGGAAAAAGACATTTTAAACTTACATAGATCTGATGGATATTGTTCTTTATATAGGCTATTTTACGCCTGTAGTCAAAGGACACAACTGTAATTAAATGTACCTATTAACGTAGTCCAGTGATATCTGTAATCATAAACTTATTCAAGCAAGCCAAGTATATCTTTCCCTTCAGCTATGTTTATTGTAACCAACACACGGTTGGGGGAAATTTTTTTTTCATAATATTGATTCTATATTTATTCACAGACTTCATTTTTAATAACAAAAGTACATAAAATAATAGGCCATTAAATATATAATCAAATAATCAATATGATAAACAGATACTGAATTTAAAGAGAGAGAAAAAAAAAAAAAGAAACTCTCGCCTATATATTGGAGAGGCACACAGCCCTATGATGTTCTATAAAACTTTTATAGTCTCTCTGCATGTAGGTTCTGACTGAATATGATACACTCCAAGATACAACTCTTATATCTTCCATGCTCATATTCACAAGAAGAAAATATCCCATCCCTTCTGTGTCGAGTTGCCCAAAATAACCATATATGAAATAAGGTATGAAATTGATCCAATATTTAGTAAGGAAGGAAAAAAACATTTTAAACTTACATAAATCTGATGGATATTGTTCTTTATATATGCTACTTTACGCCTGTAGTCAAAGGACACAACTGTAATTAAAGGTACCTATTAACGTAATCCAGTGATATCTCTTTTACCTTTCAAATAGGATAAAGAGAGTTTAAATCCCTGTAGAGATAAATGAGTGCGTGAGTTTCTTGCCAATGAAGAAAAAAAGACTAAAATTTCTTCGGACAAATAAATTTAAGAAAACTTAGAGAGTCACACACTCGATGAAGATGGCTGCATTGGTACAAGAGGTGGGGGAGGCAATATACATGCAGAAAGAGTTGATGTCTCATTGGAATGGTGTCGATTCTTCTCATGCACCTTCTTAATGTAATCCGACGCCTTCCCATCTACACTACTCATCTCTTCGCGAATCGCATAGGAAGGAACTTCATCCCCTTCATGAATTGGCTCAATCAAGTAAGAAACAGGCGTTGAGCTGCTCTGTGGTACTTGTGACCTTCGGCTACTATTTCCCGGAAACTGAGACACTGCTGCTAATTCCAGAGAGGCACCATTTCTGGTTACCGGAGGAGGAGGTCTAATCGTCCCAAAACTCATCTTGGCAATGGAAAATGATGTTAGTTTGACGACATTGACCACCATTTTCAACGAATTGTCGAAAAGAGAGTTGTTGCTTCTGCTGCTGTTGTTGTTCATGGCTGGTCCTGGCTAATTTTGAACTAATTGCAGAAGGCAGATACATATAGTAGCAATGTGGGTATGTAGAAGGTTATGTTATACTTGCTTTTGAAGTATTTGAGAACACCAATTTTATTTGGTGCTTTGATCCCTTTCTCATTCTATGAAAAAAGGTTTCTGCTGCTTTTTATCAAGAAAGCAATATATATTTTAACAAAAAAACAGAAAAAAAAAGAAAGCAATATATATATATATATATAAAACAACTTTCAAAGGAGGACAAGAATAATATACCCTACTGTATTTGTCCATATTGTAAATGAAGATCTATTTATATGCTCTTTGTTTTAATTTCCTAAGATGGTTGGATGAATATAGTTATTTGCCTTCCCCAATAAAAGTAAAATATGTGTCATTAAAAATATAAAAATAGAATTGACTTTAAACACCAGATTAAACCCAACCAAAGTACTTGTTTCAAGAAAAAATGAATTTACCAAGACCCAAAAAAGGAAGTAAATGTTTCATTGTACACTCTGTGCCAATTGCCACGTACATGGTCGCAAATCTGAACCATATATATAGCATATTTTTTTTATCAGTAAAAATTCATTAAAGGCACTCAAAAAGGAGGGTAGCGCTCCCAAAGAACAAAAAGCCGCCTAAACACAATCCACAAAATTTAAAAGACTATCTAGATATACAAATTCGCCCATTAATCCAAAAGAATAAAGAAGACGGTATATTGTATATGAAAGACCAAATAGGAGACTCCTCCCCTTCCCCTTGAAGGAATCTCCTATTTCTCTCGAGTCACAAGTCCCACCAAATACAAAGGGAAGTGACCCTCCAAACATCTCTGACTTGACCCTCCCCAAGCATCTCTGACTCGACTCTCTACTATACACCCTTTTTAAGCCTCTAAAAAATCAACTGTTGACTCAGGAAACACCCAAGCCACACCAAAAGCAACCAAGAACATAATAGCCCAAATATCCCTCATCACAAAGCAGTGAAGCAAAAAGTGATTCACAGATTCCCCCGATCTCTTATACATGCAACACCAGTTCATCACAACCTGACATCTCAGTTGTCGAGAGTGAGGACACTTCCAAGAGCAGCAGACCATGCAAAAACAAAGCTTTCGTCTTCCAAACAGCTCTCCAAGGGAAAGAGGGGCCAGGGATCTCCATAAGACTTTGATAAAGGATCTAACCTCAAACTCGCCTCCCACAGCATCATATCCATACCCACACCTGGTTGTAAATCAAGGCAAGGAAGTCTAAAACATCCATAAGCTCGAAATTGACATCCCAAGCGATAACAGTCAGCAACTACAGCATGATCCTTCACATAAATCCTGAAGAGGCTAGGAAATCTACGACATAACACAAAGTCCCCGCACCTATATGCATTACAATGGCATTATTACTTGTTTGCTTAAAGAAGATACAAAACTAAACTATGGCTTTTTAAATTTAGTACAATAATTTGTCTCAATACCAAACAAATACCCCCAACACTCTAAACTCTGAATTCTCAAATTAATACTTCAAATCCCAAATTTACAACTCAATAGTCAAATACCAAACAATTCTCACCCCCAAAAATTGACAAATCGCTCAAACATCCCACCTCTTTTCACAAGATACAAACAATACCTCAACCCTCAATCCCCACCATCCATATGACCCCGCAAAAGAAAAACAATGATGAACAATGATTAATACACAATTAATGAAACTAACAACTAATGCACAGCCAAGGAAACAAATTTGACTGAATGACAAGGCCTATGCAAAAAATGGCCTCTATATATTTCTCTCCAACTATGATACAGTGACTGTATTAAACTCAAGTGGCCTCAAAGCTCCTTGCACGATATCTTGAACTGTTCTGTTGCGGCGACAAACCTCTGAAAGCTCTTCAATTGGTACCATAAGGGCATTGATGTCACCACCAGATGCTGCAGCTGACAATGCTTGTAAAAATCTTGATTGCTCTACCTCTGTCACAGCAGTCGATGGGATCAGTGAAACACTCTCCTTGGCCCACTCGAGAGATTTTATGCCATATGCTCGATTTAGTGCTAGTAATGCATAGGCTACCTGTGAAAAATGGAGGGACCCAAGAGGTTCAGAGTAATGTAACAATAATATATTATCGAACATATGTACAATTGTAACTTATTTCTAGTAACTACTTTAACACGTATATTTGGAACTTACAAGTACAACTTTTTTCTAACTGAGAGAACTTTGAACATAAATTACCATTTAAGGCATCAAGAAGAGTTACCTTTTCTAATCGAGAACTTGGAAGTGCACCGGTTAGCGAGGCAACCAAAATTCTAGTGATGGTGGCACCTCGGGGCATCATTACACTATCCCTGATAGATTGGAATTGTTCGCCATGACTAGATTTTGCAAGATCAAATATATCGGTTAAGAATGTCAACATAGAGTTGGATGCTTCCCTGCAAGGGAGAAAAGAAGCAACTACACATGAGACACAATAGTAGGCACAATTTATTATGCTGAATGTGACATGAATGAATAAGCTGAAACGTAACCCATTGAATATTTGGCAGTGAAACAACCCCTTGCTTCCAACCAAACAAAAATGTAAATGAATTTATAAAAGAAAAGAAAAGCAAGAATTGAATGCTAAGCCCATGTTCATCGTCACTCAGTAACAAATAATAAATACAATGCTTACTTTTATTAAAGCAAGAGAGCATTGAGCTCAAGACAGTGGAGTAAATGAGACTAGATGTGGCGGGTCAGGGTATGACTGCAAGTAGTTTCAAGAAAGAATCGCTTGCACAACCACTAGGGGCTTGACATTGCTGCAGTTGAGATCGTCCAGTCAGTCAGGTGCACCAATTGTAACTCACCACATTTGCTAATAAACATGTTACATCTAGTGATAGTAAACTCACTTTATTGTATCTCTTTTTTTCCTTTTGGTAGGTAAAATGAAATTTTCAATGTATTTCTACCCTTCATATATTCTTAATTTGTATTTTGACCAAATCACAGATCTCTCTCTCATAAAAAAATAAAAAATAAATAGAAATGAATACAGGTTTCAGAAGCATGAGAATAAAGGAAATGAATTTAAAAAATATAGAGCCAAATCAGGTCATTAATAATCAACACCCCATCCAGGCTAGGAAGGGCTCAGTGGGGGAATTTTATTTATTTTAACTTTATATCCATAGTTCTGTAGAATTATGCAAATGCCCCCAATAAAATTTTAAAATTTCCCAGTATGTAAGTATGCCCCCACAAATTTTTTTGACCTCTAATCTCTCTTTTTATTTGTTTATGGTTCCTTGATATTGCAATTTTTTTTTTTGTTATATTTAATTGCACTTTATACCCATAATTGCATTTGCTTGTTACTTGTTAGACTTGTACATTGTTTGCTTGTTACTTGTTAACAGGAACTTTTTCCTTAATTCCTTGGTCTAGAGCCTTACTACCTTGGTAAAAAAAAATTCTACATAAAGAAAAATAAAAGACTTCGTCATATAACTCTAAAGTGGAGAAATAGAGCCAAACAACCCTAATGAAAAATATAATATTAAAATCTATGGATTTTAGAAAGGACTACAACAAGAATTTGTGTATAGATTTGCACAATTCAATATAGTCTTATCCCAAGTCCCAACCATATCACTATATGAGTTCAAATACATTAACCCATTTTTGTCATCGCACTATATTAAGGGCCAAAACTTCAAATTGTAACACTTGATATTATCATGTCGTTCCTTGGAATTAATTTTTGGCCTTCTCTTCCTTCATCATTATCCACGTGTGGATCATGTCGTCTTTCCTAATAAGTGGCAGTTGTTCATCTTTGATGCATGTATCCAGACCATCTTACTCAGTTACCTCCTATCTCGTAAGGTACTACTTCAACGGTCTCGCGAATGTAATCATTTTTGTTATAGATTTTCCCGTCTTTATCAAACATCCATCTCAACATTTACAAACATTGACAGGTCCCTCCTTCCCTTGGAAAGCGATTTGGAGGTCAAAAGCGCCTTTGAAGATCTCTCGGAATCATTCTCACCCTCGACAATCACAGGAGGAGATGGCAGATTGTGGTTACTGGTGTTGTATATGCAAGAAGACCAAGGAAACAGTGAATTTCATTGCCTAGTGGTGAGGGATGTTTGGTTTATGTTTTTGGTTGTGTTTTGGGATGTCTTGGGTGTTCCTAGGATCCACAGTAGATACAATTGAGGCTTGGAGAGGGTGTTTAGTGGAGACCCGAGCCAGGGATGTTTGGAGGGCCACTCCCCATTTTTATGGTGGGGTTTGTGGAGTGAGAGAATAGGACATCCTTTGATGGAGAGGAGACTCCTATTTGGTCTCTCAAATACAGCATACTTTATTTTCCCAACTGCAATTTCTCACGTTCTAAATTTCACAACCTATTTCTAGGGTTCCAATCTCCATATTCTTTCTTAATTGTTTTTTGTCAGTCTATGTTGCAATATTAAGCTTTCTAGGAATACTAAAATTTTGCATGCTAGTCAGACTACAATTCTAGTTTAAGTGGAACAAAATTCATCCAACTCCTCTTTCATCCATTCTTAGAGATTATTAATTGTTTTTCTATTTGCTATCATAAGATATTTAACAAAGCCAACCCCCTAAATCCATCCCCACATCGCAGGTGGCATTATCATTCTTATTTACAAATCAGTATTCACCATACAATATTTTATACCATTCACATCCTTTTTCTCCATGAAAAATACAGGTCTCCCTCCTATAAATTATTTTTGTCGGTATCCATCATACATTATTTCTTACCATTCACATCCTTTATCTCCTTGACAAAATAAGTCTACCATAAATAATTTCTTCCCCGATATATTTCTTGAATTAAATCATCATCTATGTACTATGTAGTACAAAATTTGTGCTTTAATGTGTACAAATATAGTCCTACCCATTTCTAGTAACATTTACAATTTCATTTTTAAGTTTTTCCCAACTGTGATCATTAATTCATCACTATTCATATATATTTTAATTAGAGTTTATGGCAAATTACACTGATCTCTCAAATCGTTTGTGATTATTACACCATATTCCCGTGTTTTAACGTTTGAGCTTTGGTAACAGAAGTCCATCTGCAGTGACCATTAGTCAACACAGATTCCGTTATGTCAAAATGAGGCTATGTGAAACTAGAAGGACAAGATATCCTCATTCATTGGTTGCAAAATTATTATGATACTCTTAAACATCTCTCATATTGAAGAGTCATCTAAATGCATACATAAATATATGTATAAAATGTATATATGTGCATATACAAATGCCCACGTATGCACATATATATAGATATAATGGTGGACTAATCCCATAAAAAATATATAGAGCATTAAAGCGCCATTGTGGTGGATTCCTTTGATGACAATGTAGAATAACCAAAAAAAAAAAGGAAATGGGACCCTTTGATACACAAGACAAGAAACTGAAGGTAATGTCAATGAAAAACTAGCATTAACAATAATTAGTTTGTTTCTTTTTTTCTTTTTTCTTTTTTCTTTTTTTTCTTTTTTTTTTTCTTTTCATAATTGGTACTCACACACACATGCCTCCATGGAGGCTTGAACCCTTGACCTCCTTTTAGGAAGTAAGAGTCTGATACCGCTAGGCTACTGGCCCGTTGGTATAATTAGTTTGTTCTTGGAGTAGATGATTTTTGGAAGCGGAGCTTGCAGGTCCTTTTGCGCAACGTACAACCTCAGAACAATGGTGAAGAAAAGGCTATGGATATTTGAATTTACGATTATGATGATTATACACAAGCATCATTTTTACATGTGATTTAATTATTGGTATTGTCTGGAATGGGAGTTATGAAAGATGGCGGCAACAACATGAGAAGATCTTTGTGCCGGTTTGATTGTGGCTTTTGAATTAGAAGCTTGCAAAGGGGTTAGATATGTTTATATTCACTCTGTGGATATGAATTATTTCTATGTTTAGGGTTTTGAATATGGTGCATTAAAAAAAAAAAAAAAGGAATTCGTGTTGAAGGGGTGGAACTAGAGAGGGAGATGTGAGAAAAAGAAAGTGAAAGACTTGAGAAAATACGATCTTTTTACATGATTATTTTAGACTCTTTATATTTTATTGACTCTCAACTAAAACAACATTAAGAAAATAAGTGCACAATGATAAATTTATTACTTCCGTTAATGGAATCAGCTGACAAGCTCTGACAAGGGATTGCAGTGCAATTTTGAAAAACACAAACGATATCCAGTAATAAACACAAATGTCAGGGAGGTCACTGTAATATTCCCTAGAATTTACATCTTGTATTTTGAATTTTTCTACTTCCCTACCCACTAAAATCTTTTAGCTCCTTTATTAACCCCTTGCTAATCATAGTTTTTATAAAGAAAGAAATATGAAATTTTCATCAAATGATAGTCATGAGCACTAGACTTTCAATGTCTCAAAGGAAGATACCATATTGGGGGGGTCAAACATCAAATTAAGAACATATCAAGGGTAAAAAGGGTAAAAGTTGAACAAAATGAGTTCTCTACACCCTTCAAATCATTGTGTTTACAAAGGAAGTAGCTATGAAGTCTTCATAAAATGATGAGTAGATCTTTAAACGGATCAAATTCAACCAAATCAGGATTTACCCGAACCAAATCCAATAAGGTTATTTTATGATCCAATCCAATCCGATAAACTGAATTAATGAATCATATCTGGTTTGTTACTAATTAATATCCAATCCGATAATCCGATCCGTTAAAGGTGTAATTTTTCGTTGAAACAATTCAATGTCAAAATAGGTCGCCAAATAATGATTGAAGAAAATGGGGGAAAGCCAAAGAAGACGAATAAAAAAATGAAGGAAAAAAGAGAAGAAAATTAGTTATTGAACTCTGTATTAAAGGGAAAAAAATAAAAATAAAAAATTGAGTGAAGAAAGAATAGAGAAGGAATAAGAAGAAAAAATAATATTAAAAACATGTTGATACTATATAAAGAGTATACATTATATAATTAGACCATATATTTATAGCATATTTAACATATTACCAAATCAGAAGAGGTAGAGAACTGAACAGGGTCATAATCTCAAATCAAGAACACAAAAGGTAAAAATATAACAGGAGTTTTATAATCAGCTAAGGACGTGGTCTACCAAGAACATCGCATGTTATGATTGGAGAAACCATGCTAACTGTCCATCCGCAGCAAAGCAAAACCTTACCACTAGATTAATTTTCAGTGACTTCTACAGGCGGACATGCTTGGAAGGATATGTCCTCTTATAGTATTTTTATCTTTTCACAATCTTCGACCCCTTAGATATCAGCGTACTTGGGTTTGGGTATTATAATACTTTTTAAAGGGAAAAGAAATGAGCAATCATTATAGTATTCAGATTTCACTTTTCTGACTTGATTGCATCAAATGCCAAAAAACTTATATTCAAGCATCGTATTCATGAACTATCTGAATATTTAATAAGAAACGGCCAAACTAAAGAGGACCTTGAGTGCCTCATTCCATGAGAGAATAAAGTTTCTCTACTCTCAAGTTCCAAAAGAATGAACAAGCCAACAACTAACCATTGTGGTTGGTCAAGTATATTATATTTACTACAGACAGCAGCTACCTTGAAAATGGAATGTAAGTGTATCATTTATGAGTGCTGACAGAAACATGTGTGTCTTTGTTGTTCACTTTTTTTGGTTCTCAACAACTTATTACTGTTCCAAGCATAGTTAGCAAAAATGCGTATTATACACATATAATACACATACTTACAATTATATAAAACAAAAAATCTGTTCCCCATACAAGTTTCAAATTTAACAAACAACACTCAAATGAAGAGTTGAAACTTGCAATACACGTGATTAACATTTCTCGTATTATACATTATGGAAGATATTTCACTCAAATAATATATATATATATATATATATATATATATATATATATATACATATTTTTATTTTTTACAAATTTTACACTCCCTTCAATCATTTTAAAAGAAAAAGAAATAAATTTTAAAATAGTTTATTGTAACAAAACTAGTATCATATAAGACTATCTACCTAGGTATTTTTATAAATGTTATGATGAATTGATTCAACTATGTAATTATACTCACTTTATTAAAACTATATATTAATAATTGAGATAAATAATAGGAGATCTAAGCAAATATTTATGCAACTCTATAAATGTTCTATAATATTTTTACAACTATGAATTCGTTTCATTACTCTTTTTTTATTAATATTCGTATTAGTATATTACACCGGTATATGTATATATGCATATTTTACGGTTTACATTTTTTCCTGCCAATTTTTAATCATTTTTTTAAAGAAATAATCGTACTATACTTTGTACACATCACATACCTTTTTTCTTGTTCTCATATTTTACTAACTAAGGTTCCAAGAAACAGTTAGTTAATCGATTAATCTCTATAATTTGATCAAGTGACAAAGCCACTTGAGGACTAGTGCGAGCAACTGCCCTGACAAATTTTTTCTTTTATTTCAATTTTGTATGTACATTTTTCCATAATATTAAAGAACCGCACCCTAAAACTGTTAAATACTTTTCTGTCTTAAAAGTTCAAAATGCAGAAGCCTTGATCTGTTTTATTTCTTTTTTATTGAAGAAATCAGTGTGTTTGCAACTTTATTGGTTGTATTTATTGTCTCTTTTAACTTCAGGGTTGATGCCAGTTTATCAAGTTGGTATTTTAGCTCTAATTTTTCTAATCTCGTTTGGCAGCCTCAACGAATACTAAATAACAAAAACAAAACAAAATAAATAATATAAATTTAAACTGATTACCTTTTGCTGTTATTATGAATTATGATTGTCATTGTAGAAATAAATGAAGATTAATGTGTCGTGTAAATTGAGAAAGACATATTCAGTGACATTAATAATGAGGAAGACATATGCAATGCCTTCAGAACAGTGGGGGCAGATGACCCCACAATTTATCTTTTCTGTCTATTTTGTATGCACATTTTTCCGAAATATCAAATATGACCCCCTGAAATTGTAACACACTTCTTAAAAGTCCAAAATGCAAAAGGCTTGATCTATTTTATTTCATTTTTTTTTTTTTTTTTTTTTTTTTTTTGAAGAAATCAGTGTTTACAATTTTATTGGTCGTATCTATGGTCTCTTTAACGTCAGGGTTGTTGCTAGTTTTTCAAGTTGGTATTCTAGCTTTAATTTTCTTAATCTAGGTTGGTATCATCAACTCATATTTAATAACCGAAACTAAAACAATATAAATAATAGGGTCAATTACACTTACCTCCCCTCTAGTTAGGGTTTATTACATATACCACCTCTATGTTTTTTATAATTACAGTTACCTCCCTTCTAGTTACATGTGTGTAGCAAACGGACCTGTGCCATCAATTTCACTAATGGACATAGATGTTCAACACTGATGTGACAAAATTTTGAGCTCCATATGACCAATATGCCCTTCAAATGGCTGTGAAGAAACTTTTGTCCAATGCTTCTTGTGCAAAAATACAATTATACCCAAAACTAAAACCCTAAACCCATATGCAGTTTGTCACAATGTATATATACATGTATTGCAGGATATATACAGAATACAATTTTTTGACCCACAAACTACATAGCTTTCCAACTCATCCATCTCCCTCTGGTCTCCTCCACCACCAAGTCCGTCTTAGTCAGATCCAGACTCCCAATTTAAATGGAAAAAAAATAAAAAATTCTTTGCTTGCTCGAGAATTCGCTATGTTGGTTGCTTGGGGGTACTTCACTGACCATTGTTTGAATTGATCAGTCATCTCCTTTAAATACTAATTCACATACCCATACCCCAATTCAATACCAATTCTTGCTTGGGGGTACTTTATATGTACAAAACGAGACACCGATGTATAAAGCAAGCATATACATGCAGAACATCAAACATGTAAGTAATACAAAAGCCCCAATGAACTTTCCAATGTGTAGGCACAATCCTTGGGCACCAAAAATAGTAATGAGGGTTGAGAAAGTGCCCTTGTGACATGGACATATATATACATGGCCAAATTTGGCTATGATTGATGGCCCCTCACACAATTCCTTTTTAGAATTTCCCATTGCTAAACCCTAGACCCAAATCAAATGCAACCCATAATACTTATCCAAACTCCCTCTGCAAATCCCAAATCAAACGCAACACACCCACCGGAAACATGTGTTCGTGTGCGCGCGCGCGCACACACATACACGTGTTTGTGTGCGCGCGCGCGCACACACATACACATGTTTGTGTAAAAGCTCAACAATGAAAGGTATATGCTAACAAAACAAAAGAAGTGCTAAAAGGTATTATTTAGATTTGCATATATATATATATTATTCCTTTGGAAATTTTTGATTAATTTCAGCAAAGACCCATTTGGGAAAGTAATGGAACGAGTTGGTTTAATTGAGGCTTGATTCCATTATATTAATATACACTGATCACCGCCTCTTGTCAAATAAATAGGCCAAACATAACTTTTGAAAAAGATTGGACTTGGGGGCTTGAACGATTAAGACAAACATAAGATAAAACCAACCTTATCTCTTCGTTGTGTATACTAAGAAAGAAATAATTATAGACATTGATAATGTGGTTAACATGCGGAGGTTTCAAAACATGAATCACAAAATATATTCAATGGATAAGGACAAATGTTTCTTTTTTGGATAATTAAGGACATTTATTAAAGCATTGAATGGACATATAATAGCTATTTTATAAATTATTTTGGTTCAAATTTTTTTTATTATATAATGATTCAAGATTGCCCCCACCAGAGCGAATTCCCAACTCATTGAATGTAAATATTATTAATTAAAATTTAATCTTTTATTTATTATATTTGTTCGGCCAACTACGCTTTATGAAGCGGAGCGTTGGGCTTTAAAAAGGAAACAACAACGATGTCTTCATGTAGCGGAAATGAGAAGGTTACGATGGATGGTTGGAGTGAATAGATGAGATAGGGTCACAAATGAAAATGTAAGAGAAAAATTAGGTGTGTGCCCATCAACGAACAAATAAGAGAGTAGGCTTAGATAATTTGGGCATACACCGGAGACCTATAGATGCAACGGTGAGAAAAGGAAGTTTAATTTCAACAGAAGGTATGAGGGACTGAGAGGGGACCAAAAATTACGTGGGATGAAGTTATAAGAAATGATTTCAAAAAGCTAAACATAGCAGGTGATATGGCGGGTAATAGAATGGAAGAATTCATGTGGCCAAGCCCTTTCATATGGGAATAAGACAAGGATGATAATTTATTATATTTGTTCAGTTTTTTTAATTTTATTATTGATCAGGACTGCCCCCACTAAAGAGAATACCTGGCACCACCATATATTTATATATGCGTGTTAAGATCACAACTCCATATACAGCTTATGACACAAATGAGAGTGCATGCGCATGTGTGAGAGAGAGAGAGAGAGTTCACCTGTGTTGTACTGTGATGCCAGCCATAGAACAATCAACTAACGAAGGGAATACCATGGAAGGAAAGAACAATTGAGGACAATAGCGAATGCACCTCGATGCCAACAAAAAACAATCATCCGCTATGTCCGGTCTGGAAGTGAAGTCCTAAAGAGAAGATTTCATTGATAAAATTAATATTACAGGAGAAGAAGAGGTAACACAGTCGTTAACTGAAAGCATACCTGAATTTTAGTAAGCAGACATGTTGTCTGGCTAAAGAGTGATTCAATCAAGATTTTTAAGTAGTTTGCACAAGACGGATCGGACCCGAATATCTGCAGTACAAGATTCACTGGTTGCTCAACATAAAGAAATAAGTAAATAATGAATAAAAGTTGCTCTGAAGATTCATCACTAAGCAATAGCTTTAGTGGTATTTCCTCACCTTTATTACAAAGTGGGTGTGTGTCCTTTAACTACCAAAAAGAAAGTTGCTCTGAACTTTAAGAAAGAAATGTGTACCTTTATAACTTCACTAGAAAGATAGAGGAAACATGGTTGGTGGTGGTGTTTGTATAGGCCTTGTATCTCCTCTAGCATGGCTCCAATTGTAAATCCCATGAACCTTTTGGAAGTTCTCACCTAAAAATGTATAAATTAGTTCAGTGCTGGCAGGAAATAATATACATAACAATTCAAGAAACCAATGAATAACCTCCCCCAGATGTATAGACAATAACCCACAAAAAGATTAGCATAATCAAAACTAGGTCTAGTTGCAAGGACCAAAACCAACAGAGAGTACGGCACCAAGGGTATAGACCTAATCTTCAAAAAGTAATGTATGCAGCAAGCTATTCTCAGATCCAAACAACTAGAGTGCATTTTTATCAATGCCACAAGCATTTTAATCAACAGGAAGGACCTAAAAATACATTTTTGTATTGATGTCAAATGCAACTGTGCCAACTTAATCCCCATGCAACAAGGATAACAATATTATAAGCTGTCAAACTGACTCCACACCAGGATGTTCACATAATAGGCAGTTCAGCCAGACAAACAGGCTTCTGTGTAAGCCACAGTCTGCTTTAATTGCAATTTTCTTGGACCAGAATCCGTTAGGATTTATTCAAGTCAAAGAGCAAAATCAATGGCCCGAAAGGAGTGTAGAGAATAGCCTTAAGTGGATTTAGTTTTTTATTTCTCTTTTTAAATGGTGGATAGGGGCCATTGCTTAGTGCAGCGGTGAAATGCTCCACTGTCATGGGTTCGAATCCTGAGAGCAGCCAGTTTGTGCAAATTGTACCAAAGGTTATTCCTGTATCCACTCTGCCCCTCCCAGCACCATCAATTAACGGGGACCACATTAGGTAATGAAAACTTTCTTTTCTTTACATAAATTTAAAATGGTGGTGGATTATTTATATTGACCCTATCACTCTGAATTTATAGATTTTTTACTGTGTTTATCAGGTTCTACATCAATTCATCAGTTTTTAAGAAATATGAAAGAGGCAAAAGGATGCACATCATTTTTTAAGACCAATGAAAGAAGCTATCTTTAGTAAACTACATTAACAGAAGACTTTCCGTAGTCAAAGGAAATACAATCTTCTTGGTCTAAAATGTGAGATCATAGTTAAAACACGACAGCAAGTGTATTAATAGTACTGTTGAATACTGTCGAAAATGGATCCAGGTCCATGAAATGACATGTATTTATGGGGCAAAACAAATCATATGGGCATGACCTCATTGATAGCACTCTTCCTATTTAAAAGGATGATGGATCCCTAAGTAGCACTCTCTAGGAAATACAAAGAGGCTAATTCACATCAGCCTCTGTTAAAAGAACCAGAACTATAGGTGAAATAGCTCAAAGAATCCTGAAATTCAAAATTTTTAGATGAATAAAGTCTGAATCTTCTGCACAATTTTGCCAGTAATGATGATCTTCACATGCTCAGAAAGTATAACACAATCTAACATGATTACTTTGGTTCAGTCTCCTCCAGCTGCATCTATTGGAAATTGCTAAGCTTTAGTCCTGCATGTTGGTAAGGAGAACTCTATTTTAGGCTTTAGTACATCAATTATAGGTGACTAGGTCAGCATAGACGCAGTAAGGGTAGTCGTGTAATTAACAGGCTTATGTGTAACCGTAGTAGTTGGACAAACTGCAAACACTAAGTAAGGACTGGGATAAGCATTACAAGCAGGTTTGTTCAAATCGGGTAGTGTAAAAAGGTTGATGACATCCAGTCCTATGTTGGAAAGTATCTATTATCTCAGCTGGGTATTACCGGCCAAGACAGATTGGTCGTATCTTGTGACAACATCCAACTTGCATTTTCAAATTAAATTCAAGCAAAAGCATTGACAAATTATTTTCCTGGATAGTACACATAGAAAGCTTGATCATTTGAGAACAGATACAACTTTTTCATCAGATCCCAATTGTATGAACACACATTTTTGTGAGACTTATTAGCATTAAATACTACATATGCATCTTAAGTGAGTTGCACATGCAAACCCAGACGTAACAAAAATCAATACATCAACCCAAAATTTTAAATTGGAATAATTTATTACACCAAGCTGAAACTACTACCATAATTACAGAATGCCAAACTAAAATTGACTCACAAGCAGCATGCCAAAGAAACAAAGTATTTTCTCTCTCAATAAGCTGGAAGAACCAATTTTATGATTTGCTGCATTCTGAAGCTGATGTTTCTAATTTCTCAAAGTCAAAAAAAAGATATGGTAGCATTTAAATTCATGTTGGCACCAGAAACAACAGTTAAAGTGGAAATCTTTGAAAGGTAACAAGGAAACGGCATTTGTCTTGACCTGATTTGCATGCATTTTCAAATAACAAAAAATTTAAATATAAACAGATAGTATGGCACAATGCACAAATAAAACATACTTGAGTAATCAAACTTATTAAATATAAATCAAAGACAATTAAATAAGTAAATTGACTGCAATAGAACAGGTCTCACAGCAACGATAACAGAAAATTAAGTTCATGACATAAATCGTTAAAATTTACTTGATCTCATAGAAAGTAGCACAAAATTCGCAATATTCCAAGATTTGGTGGATTACAAAGCACCAGGTGTCAGCACAGGCACAATAAACGGACAGCGAGAGCAAGGAATCAGGAACTAGTAATACGATAGAGAAAGGTGGCATTCACTTGAATCCAATGAATCATGTAACCAGGCCAGCAAATTAACCGAAAACATGCTAACATTATACTATATTGGAAAAATTTTGGACTTGACTATTAGATTTCTTATCTCATACTGACTTATAGGAGAGGGCATTACCTACAGGGTCCCACCTACACGATGCTAACAGGGGGAAGGACCAGAGACAGACTTGACTGTCGGGATTATTTTGAACATAGTGACTGCTCTCAAAGTCGAAAACTCGGGCCTGAGTAATGGCCACAGAATTCACCTAGCTAATAACATGGGAAAAATCACAATTCAGAAAACTTACAGCATTTTTGCAAGCCCTGCAAAGAGACTCCATTGTCCTCATATCCCAAGCACGACTGCGATGATAATTGGAAACCCGGATAATTGAAGGATGGTATATCAAGTTATAATCTGGTGAAAATCATATTGGAGTGGTACTTTATGATTCCTTACAGGTCAAAAATGGCTTTGAAAATTGGCCAAAGCCTTTGAATAGCATCTGCGACAGCTTCTGGGTGATTTACATATCTACAAATATTTGCCGTCACCGAAATCAGAATAACTTCAACATATAATGGAAAATAAAGGACAGAAATAAAGGCATAGTGATCATATACCTAAAGATATTTGCCAGTCGATCTATATGAACTGTTAGGTCACGAGCAGTTGCTTGCCCCAATATTACAGGACCTTGATTAATAATTTCCTGGTTGTTGACCACACTACTTTATGTATATCATCCCACAAAAGTGTAAATGGAAAGCAATAATGGAAATGGAACTTACCTGTAAAGGAGTAACAGCTGGCATACATAATGCCTCGAGGGCTTTTTTAGCGTGGTCTGAAGGAAGTTCTGTTATAATTATACTGCAAATGAAGGTTTAAGAGCCAATCCACATTCAATTCTTTGAGAAAAACACTTATCTTAATATCTTCGAAGCAAACAAAAATACCTTAAAGCCTCAACGAGATGCAATGAATCTTCAGCAGAGACCTTAAAGCTACCTTCTCCAATCACTGCCATTTGGTATATATGGAAGAGACCATCTAAGGATCCACAAAGTTTTTTCCCGCAGTCTACAGACATAATAAATAATTTTAATTATGATATTAGAATGCAGATACTCTTAGATGTAGACCACAGATAACTAGTAAAACAATAAGCGCTGCAAGTAAAAAATCAAATAGACTTGAAAATCCTGTGCCATAGCAATTCTAACTAAGCTAGCACACCACTAACACTTCTATCACCTGCATCTCAAATAGCTTATGAGCAGTCATGTTCTAGCACAGTTAGAACAAAGTGCGAATGAAGGCCTAGACTAAAGTTCTAGAGTTTGAACATATGTGTACATTAATAACAATGCTAAAAGAAAGCCAAGTACATCTGTTGCAAATTCAACCACTCCACCCATATTACCTTCCCAAAACTTAGCAAGCACTTTTGCAGCCGTCCAACCATATTACCCATACATAGAACTACCAAAGCACTGTATAAAATTCATCAAACTTTACATGAACAACCAAAATTAAAAATCTTGAAACATTTGTTGTTGAAATTTTTTATGATTGGCAGAGAGTCGAAAAAATCAACAATTTCCCCCCAGGGATTTACAATCTCTCCCCAAAACCCTACAAAACAAAGAATAGAGAACTTAAGCGCTCCCATATGAGTCTCTTTGCCATCGAAGGATCTCCTATTCCTTTCTGTCCCTAAGCACCCACCAAACACACAGGCGTTACCCTCCAAAAGTTGTGAGCTTGGGAATCCACTATACAACCTCTTCAAGCCTCAATCAAACCGCTAGAGGACCTAGGCATAACCCAATGGACTCCAAGCATACTCAACAAAAGGCCCCAAAAATATTGGGCCACAGGACAATGCAGCAAAAGATGATACTTGAAAGGCTTCTTCTTTTTTTTCTTTTTTTCTTTTTTCTTTTTATTTTTATTTTTTATTTTTATTTTTTTGTAATAATTTAACTTTCATTAAAAGGTGCTCAAAAGAGGAGCACACCCAAAAACATCGACAAATACATGAAAGAATACGACTTGATAACTTTATGCTGTCCAAATATCTACAAAATCCTTCGCAGAAAAAAAGCACTCCCTGAAACCCAAATAAATAAATAAATAATACATATCTATATATATGTGAGAGAGAGAACTCAGAATATGGTGCTTCAGCACTCACAGCAATACTTATACAAATTGCTTCCTGTTTCTCTCAACCACAAACCCACCAAATGCAAAGGGGACCCGCCCCCCACGCATCTCGAGCCCTCCTCCCCACTATATATCTCCTACAATACTTAAGTAAGTCCATTGCAGAAGCCGGCAAATTAAACGCACCCCAAACACAGCAAAGAGCATAGTCTATGCGTCCCTACCAAATGGACAATGCAAGATAAGATGGCTCACTGACTCCTCATCTCTCTTGCACATGCAACCCCAATTAACCACTATCTGATGCCTCTTCGATCAAAATCCTTCCAAAAACCGTTGTCGACCCAAGAAAAGTCAACTTCAGAGGGCTGTTGTCCTCCATATCACTATCCAAGAGAATATTGTTGTCTGGTCACCCTGCAGCACTCCATATAAAAATCTCACCTCATAGCCTCCATGCAAGGAACGCACCCAACTCTACTCATTATCACCCTCCCTGCTCATTGTATACTAATATAGCAAGCCAAAAAAGCCGGGATTTCCTCCATATCCCAGATCTGGAGTTACATCTCAAACTATACATCCCAAGTCACCCCCCTTATCAAGACAATGACAATCAGCCACCATAACCTGCTTGTCCACCGCAATCCTATACAATCTTGGGAGTAAGCATGCAAGAGGCTTGTCACCACACCAAATTCAAGCCAGAATCAAATGTACCTCCCACACCTCACCTTGAATTGATTACAGCACACTTCCCAACCCTTTTATGAATATTCTTCCAAAAGCCCACCCTTGCTGGAGTATTAACCTCTTTAGGGAACAAGCCGCCCCTTTCCTCTCTATAATCCTCCCAACAGTCTCTCTCCACACCATAACTCCAAAGTCACTTACCATCAAGGCTTGATTAAACAAATTAAAACTCCTTATGCCCAATCCTCCTATCTAAAAAGGTTTTCACACCTTCTCTCAAATCACCAAGTGGTACTTGAAGTCATCTCCCATCCCATCCCATCCCCTCCCCAAAGGAAGTTTCTTTGCAACCTCTCCGTTCTTTTTGTTATAGACGAGGGAATCTAAAAAGACAGAAAATAGCTTGGCAGGCTTGAAAGGGTGATCTTAATAAGATTAAGATGATCCCTATTAGATAGGTATTACTTCTTCCAGCCAGCTAACCTTCCCAATCCTCTCCACCACTGGCTCCTAAATATAAAAAGCCCTCAATGAGACTCACAAGGGTAGTCCCAAATACGATACCGAGGCCCCACACCACAACCCAAATTCTATGTAGAGTGGATGTGCTGTCTATCTCTCCCACTGAGACAATCTTACTCTTTCTAATATAAATCTCTGACGCTAATACAGCACGGAAACACACCAACACACATCCAGAGTGCCTCTACTAATCCTCCACTGCAGTACAAAACACAATAGCATCAAATACAAAGAGAAGATGATATACCTCCAAGAGAGTTTTCACCCTGTGCCCATCCCAAACCCCGGCTGCAGCAAGAACCATTGCCCTTCTCATCATCCAACTAAAGGCCTCCATCACAAGGAGAAGCCCAAGAAGCCTGGACCCCTAACTGAAAATTTCACCGTTGAAATGGAAAAACAAATCTACTTCCTCCACTTCACAACAAAGCCCAACTTCTCCATGATGTAAATAACAAATCCCCACTCTATGTGAGACTGGGCTTTCTCAATTGCCAGCTTGCACGCAATCCCCAACACCTCACTTCTGGTTCTGGAATCCACATTCACTAGCAACTAGAACCGCATCCAAAATTTGACACCCTCCCAAAAAGGAATTTTGAGATTCAGCTATCACTCTCATCAACCTCAATGCAAGGAATTTGACTGTTATCTTGTTTGCCCTTTTTTGGGAATGAGGGAAAAGAATGATGCGTTAACACTCTTCTCAAATTGACCATGCTCAAGAAGGTAGAAGATGGTTTCCATCACCTCCTTTTTAACCACCTCCCAGTTCCATTAGAAAAAACCATTACATATCCACTAGGTCCAGCTCAGAAACAAGAATCCACAATTCTACATTCAAATGTATGAAAAAGATTTGGGGGAAAAAAAAAAAAAAAGGTTTTGGTCATCTCAGATGTGGATACGTGATGTGCCTGGGAGAATGAGACCAACAAATAGAATGACTGTCGTTTTATTCTCTCTTTGGTCACTTTCACTTAACTGTGAGATATGGAGAGAAGCGAGTCAATCACCCTGCTCACTACTCAAGGTTCGAAGGCATTTGGACTTGATAAATTCTATAAAAAGATTACAACTGATTTTTAAAAATACATATACAATAATGTCTAAAAGTCCACTTAGAGTGACCAATCTTTAACTGCAGTCGTCTCAAAAACCTCTTGACAAAAACAAGTTAAGAACACGGTACTTCCAGTAGTTGATTAAAAATGAAATCCCAAAAAATGCAAATCAAATTTGACTTGTCAAATATTGAATAAATAAAAAAATAAAAAACGATAGCAAGCTCTATGAAAATTGAAGTAGGACACCTGAAATAAAAGTTCAATCATCAAAGCTAGCCTGAATATTAGACTTAGCTCACATTTGTGCAGTTATTGGACAGTTTGAGAATAGAACAGGAAAAAGAGTAACTTTAAGATTTCATACAAACCATCACAAATGTGTCTAAGTGCCAGAGCCGCAGCTGCTGCAGTATCTTCAGACATACTCATTCCACTCACAAGAATATCTATGACTGAAGCCAAGAATGAGATTCCACTTGGTCCAGCATCAAGCCATCTTGAATATGCACCAATTGTTAAGCACACTGGAAAAGAAGGGGGAAAAAAAAAGACAAAGAATATATATATTAGGCGCAACATTATTAGAATAGTATATCCACTAGCTTATTTAATATGGCAATGGTATAATGTCATGGAGGAGCACGTAGGGTGCGGTTTTGGTACTCAAAACACACGCATGGCTCCCTTGGGAAAAGGCAGCCAGCAACTTTGCTAGTGGTAACTTTACGCCATTCCAAAGGTAAGAAAAAGAGGAGATTCATAGTATGAAATAACAAATATATATTACCAGTCAGAAGTAGTTGGTGTTGACGAGGAAGTTTTGGAAGCATAGACATAAGCTGTACAAAGCAAAGGAAAAAGCTAACAACGTAAATTATAGGAGCCAGACAATCAGGTAAGCACAAATATAGAAGTGGACAGAAAAGGGTAAAAATACAAAGCAATTGTCTAAAATTTATAACCATCTTAGCTACATATCTCAGTCCTAGATAATTTTTTAAAATGGAAAAGGAAAATGGGAAAAGGTTCAAATCAAAGTTAAATAAGCATGTGAGCAGAGGAAAATTTATCGCAATGCAACCAACAAGTCCTATGAAGAGGAATTGAAGTACAATCTAACCTGTGGCATAACTTCAGCTTCAGTAACTGAAACATAATCTGATATAGCCCGGATGCAATATAAAGCAGCCTCTGCCGGACGCCATTCGTTACGCTCATCATTTCCACAGCTAGCTACAGCCTAACATAATCATGTAAGAGATAACATTCAATCCATAGCTCAGAGATTCAAGCAAAGAACCTCCTCAGAGAAACCCGTCCAAATTGGCAAGAATATCAAAAAGAACAAAGGTAGAAAGGAATTGTTAGAGTACATACTGCTAGTGACTAGTTCGTTACAAGGTATGGAATTGTTTGAGGTGATGGAATTTAAGCATTGATGGTTGGTGATTTATTTCTGCTGGTTATTTTTTATTATTATTAAATTCATTAATATTTAATTAAAGAATTGCACTGTTTAATTATAATACTTTAATATAACTGCATTAACTGCTGAGGTATGCTGGTTACTGTCAATTAGCTAGAAGATTACTTACTGGGCTTTCCAAGCTCACCCTTTATTTTTCCCCACATTTCAGGTACTTGAGATTTAGTACTTGGTAGCAGTGTTGAGGCAGATTTTGTGCGGTGCACGTGCTTATAGTTTATTTGTTATTCTTTAATTCTTTTCAGAGAGACTACGTAGTGAGGTTTATCTATAGTGAGATACTTTACATTTGGATTTTGTTTAGTTCTGGATATCAGTTGGTATATTTTATGATGACATTGGAGTATGATTGTTATTCTTGATAATTATGTTGAAATATATGAGACAGCAGGTTGGCATAGTTATTTGTTGTGTATTTTTTTTTTTTTTTTTTTTTTAACTTGATTAAATGTTGGAAAGTCAGTCATGCATTTGTTCAATGAAAGGTCAAGAGTGCCTTCGATCTCAACTTCGGGGTGTGACATTGCATCTCTGGGATACGTTGAAAACCATCAAAGAAAACAGTATTATGGTGCCTTTATAACTATCTGGGAGAAGCATTGTGCTCTTCAAACACAACCTGATCTTCAGTTAATGACGCAAATATATAAATAGGAAGAAGGAACCATAAATCAAACCACAAGAACAAGTTCATGTTTACGATTTAATATTTATCCCCAAAAAATCTGGATTTAGAAATTTTGAAAACAGGGTAAGCAGTGAATTGGGTACCTAATGGCTCATGACAGGTCAGTTGCTACTTGCAAGTTGTGTTCAAATAATCCAATCCAAACCGACCAACTTTTGGATCAATCAATCCATCAGCTATCTTATGTTCAAAATTATTTAATCCATCATCTATATTAAAAAAATAACTAATAATAAATAATATACATTAAATGATTAATCAAGTTATTGTTAAATAAGTAGGCTTCGAAGACTAACCTAAAGCCAAATTCATTGGTACAACTACACTTACCCAAAACTGACCCATTGAAACAACCAAAGCACTCGGGTGCAAAATGTCAACCCAACACCAACATGAAAACTAGCTTTCAAGCGAAGCCAAATTCTCAACAAAAGCTACAAAGATGTGCCTCCTTTTTTCATCATTAGGAAAAGAAACATGGACCTCAATTACATCAGTAATCAATTTCAATGACACCACAAAATATGCCTACTCATTTATTTCTGATAATATCATCCATTTTTCTTTTGATAGGGGAAATTTCCCTGGGTTCACGTAGGAAAAAAAATTAGTCAGTATTCAAATTTTCAGTTTCTAATGCCTCTCCTGCTCAATTGTTTTTCTCCTTTTTCATGTCTTCCTCTCCTCTTCCTTCTCAAATGAAACTGCTTAGTTTCAAGGATTCAAACATCCCTCAACTTCTATATGAAGTTGCCTCCATAATACATTGATGAAATTCAGTAGATACTATGTAAATTTCCAATCTAAATACACAGATTAACTGTAAATCAAAAAACTAATTTTATGATGCCTCCAAATTAGTTCTCAAATACCTCTTTTGAAAAAAGATTTACGTTCAATTTAAGTATGAAAGCTCAACAAAGATCACTCCATACAAACTACAACAAATTAATTTGTATCCATCAAGTTCATGAACTCAAACACCATGAGAAATAACAAATACTAAATTAAGACTTTTATCCAAATCCAACGTATGAAATCAGGACAGGGAATTCTTATATCAATTCATAAAATAGTAACCACTTTTAAAGCATCAAGAGAATAACTCATACCTCAACAAGTTTCATGAAGAGAATCTTCAGTGTTGCTTCACCTCCTAAAACTAATGCTGCATCAATCAATACATCCGCGACAGCTACAACATTACAAATTCCATTAGTGTGATAAAATAATGAATTTAGAACTTTGTAAGCATGAAAATAAATTAAGAGAGAAATAACAACAATAAGACCCAAAAATGTAACCACACTACATCACATAAAATGGGAAATGAGAAGAGTCCACGCATATCAAATCCACTATGAGAATAGGTTAACAGTACCCAATCCCTAGAAGCCAAAGTTGCATAAAAAATTCAATAATGTAAGTAGCCAAACCAAGTTGTATAAAAAGTATAAAACGAACCTCAAGAAGAGGGAGGAGGTCAACAATAAGGAGAATGCAAGAAAAACAATAAATTTTAACTATGAATGCATATCAAATTGAGAAGAGGCCAAATCTCTCAGGCCTGCAAAACTCATCCATAAACTATCATAAGAAAATGCACCATCTCTACTAGAGACCTTGAATCTACTGCCAATGGAAGTACAAAAATGCATGAAGTCAAGCATTTGAATATTTAAGAGAAATAAGCTAGTATGCTTGATTTGTACACAATAAAACCTGCTAAAGTATGCTATGCCTCCATGCTGAGGGTATAAAAAGTATTTTGCCAAGTGAGGCAAAACATGAAGAACAGGAACCACTAAATTTAAGCAATAAGCCTAAAGAAGGCATTGAGGAAAATCAAGTAGGAGGCCAACCTAGAAAAGAACATCCAAGGATCTACCTAACTGCACTAGAAGCCAAAGACATGAATCTTAATACTAAATCTATGAAACTGAGCATAACGAGTCTACTGAAGACGATATAGGGCTGAAATAAGCTAAAAATACGTAGAGCTGAAAGCATCAGCATAATTAGCAGTCTGCATCTGGAAATTTCTTAGGTGAGATAATCACAGAATTCATGTTGGTCTCTTCTTGCCTGGTTATTTGAGTTTCAGATTTTTTTCAAAAATCCTAGTGGTAGAATGGTGAATTTCATCTTTCTTCTTCAGAGTGAGATGGACTTCTTACCCTTTACAACTTTATACTTTTGAATCTTTATCCTTTATCTCAGTGACTCATCTTTTCCGAATTTAATCCCCTTAAGGGCAAATCCAATCGCTCAAAGGAAAGTTGCAAAAAATGATTTGTTTCTGACAAGAAAGGTTAAGGTTTAAGTCCCCCATGTTTTTAGCATGTGTAAGGATAGGGGTGGGTAGGGTAGAATCATCCCCTTAAACTAAAACCTTAACATCAAAAGTTGTTGGCAGGAAGGCCAAATGTTTACTATTTCACCATCAAGATTATCCACAAAAAGCACTATGGTTGATAGACTGATTTTTAACAATGCAAAAGCAGGTAATAGTTTTCGTGTATTGATCAGTTGTGGAAAGCTGGGAGGTGGTCAGACAGGAGATTATGGGCACTTTTCATGAGTTTCATTCCACTGGGAAGTTCGAAAAGTCGCTGAATGCTTCTTTTATTGCTTTGATTCCTAAGAAGGGGGGAGCTTTTGATATTAAGGACTTTCGACCTATCAGTTTGATTGGGTGTTTGTATAAGCTCATCGCCAAAGTCCTGGCCTCAAGATTGAGGGGGTTTTTGGACGGTGTCATTTCAGAGTCTCAAAATGCGTTTATTTAGGGCAAACAGATTCTGGATTCCGCTCTTATTGCCAATGAATGTGTGGATTTTAGGCTTCATAGCGGCATTCCCGGAGTTTTGTGTAAGCTGGACATCGAGAAAGCCTATGATCATGTTTGCTGGAACTTCTTGTTCTATTTGCTTGACAGGATGGATTTCGGTGAGAGATGGGAGGAAATGGATTGTTACTTACGTTTCATCTGTCAGATTCTCGGTGCTGGTTAATGGATCCCCTTCCGGGTTTTCTGGCAGTTCTCGTGGTTCGAGGCAAGGGGACCTCCTCTCCCCTTTCTTGTTCATTATTGTTATGAAGGCTCTTAGCAGGCTGATGAGGAGGGCTGTTACCTTGGGGCTTTTTTGGGGCTTCAAGATTGGTCCTGAGGCAGTTCATCAATTGGAGATTTCTCACTTGCTGTTCGCGGATGATACGTTCGTTTTTTGTGAGGCAAAGGTGTCCGAATTGAGATACCTGAGATGTGTCCTGGTTTATTTTCAGGCTATTTTTGGTTTGAGAATCAATGTGGGCAAGAGTGTGCTTGTCCCTGTGGGGGAGGTTCAGGAGGTGAATTCCCTGGAAGCTGTTCTTGGATGTAGGACGGGTTCTTTCCCTATTTCTTATCTGGGTTTGCCCTTGGGGGTCTCCTGTTGGGACCCAGTTATTGAGTGCTTCGAGAGAAGGTTGAATAGATGAAAAAAACAATATCTTTCGAAGGGAGGAAAAGTTACGCTGGTGAAGAGTGTCCTGTCTAGCCTCCCAACATATTTCCTCTCTCTGTTCTAGATTCCCTCTTCTGTTGTCAGGAGACTTGAGATGATTCGATGTAACTTCCTTTGGGGTGGTAGGGGGGAGGAGTTTAAGCATCATCTTGTTCGGTGGGAGCAGGTTTGCAAGCCTCTTAAGTCAGGAGGCCTTGGGATTCGGAGGTTGGTCCCCTTCAACAGTGCCCTTCTTCGCAAATGGCTTTGGAGGTTTAGCAGTGAAAGATATAGACTTTGGAGGAAGATCGTTGCTTGCCGGTTTGGGGAGGATAAAGGGGGTTGGTCTGCTAGACAGGCTAGATCTGCTATCGGCGTGGGTGTGTGGCAGAAAGGTTGGGATGAGTTTTCTAAGCATATTAGATTCAGAGTCCGGGAAGGTCGGAGTGTCTAGTTTTGGGAGGATCCTTGGCGCGAGGAACGTCCTTTGTGTCGACGGTCTCCAAGGTTGTTCGGGACTGCTGTGAATTGCCACGCTTTAGTTGCTGACTGCTATCGCCTTGATAGCGGTAGGTTATCTTGGGATGTTCGGTTCCAGCGAGCTTTCCAGGATTGGGAGCTGGATGATGTCACTGCCTTTTTGGACCTTTTGTATCGGCAGGAGGTGGATGGCACTGGGGCGGACCTTTTGACTTGGGTGCCTTCTTCGCAAGGGACTTTTCAGGTCTGGTCTTTCTTCTTCTGTCTTTCCAATTTTCAGGCCCCCTCTTATCCATGGATAATGGTTTGGCATTCGAAGACTCCTCTTAGGGTGGCTTTTTTTTGCTTGGACCGCTGCTTGGGGCAAGATCCTAACTCTAGATAATTTGAGGAAGAGGAGACATGTCATTGTTAATCGGTGTTGTCTGTGTATGACCGATGGAGAGTTTGTGGACCACCTTCTCTTGCACTGCCCAATGGCCCATGATTGTTGGGGCCTAATGTTCCGTCTTTTTGGCATTCAGTGGGTTATGCCTCGGACCTCACGGGGTCTTATCGATATTTGGAGGGGACAAAGGGTGGGGGCTCGAGTTCGCGACTTCTGGAGGGCGACTCCCCTCTGCATTTGGTGGTGTCTTTGGAAAGAACGCAATAGAAGATCCTTTGTTGGGGAGGAGTTACCCATTGGAGCTCTTAAGTATTCTATTATTTGTTCTCTTTTTAGTTGGGGTATGGGGAGAGATTGTTCTTCCGTTGAGGAGTTTTTGGACTTTTTGGGGTCTTTGGATCCTTAGGTTTTCTTGGTTTTTGCTCTTGGTTCTTGTATAGCTCTTGGGATGCGTTCCCCTTTTGAACGCTTTCTAATACAATTTTACTTATCAAAAAAAAAAAAAAAAAGGTTGTTGCCTTGTTGGTAAACCCTGGGTATTTAATATTATTGATTGGAGACATTTTTTTAAGGATTCACGAGTCAAGTCGCTCTCAATTACGCGTACTAGAGCTTCATTTTCATTATTCGTAATGGAAACCATGACTTTGTATAGGCTATAACAGAATAATTGCTACATGAAATCCTTAGGCTGATGAAAAGCAATTAAAGCTGAGAAGATTAGTAAAATTGAAGAGGACAAGGAAGTGACTCTTTTGGGTTGCCACAAATGTTAAAGTCTTTTCAGTTTTTTCCATGGACAGTGCAGAGGAGCATGTTACAAAAATTAATAAAATATATATATAATTAAAATAAAATAAAAAAAGCAAAATCCCTATTTTACAGTTGCCAAAGCACGTTAGATGTGAACCACTACCCTAAATGTCAAAGACATATTAGATGCAGAGAAAGTAATATCTGATATATTGTGTCACATACAAAAAATGAAATTGTGAGTTAATGAAGAAAGAAGAACATTTTTCTTTTCTTTCATTCTTTATTTCTGTTTTGTTTTTTTTTTTTTTTGGATCATTTAAACAGCTAATTAGACGACAGTTGCATTATTTTGCCAGCAGAACTACATATGAAGAGGATATTGGTAATACCTGAAAACAGATGCATAATGGCTTGGTACAAAATTAAAAATTGGGAAAGGAAGAGATAGAGAGAGAGAGAGAGAGAGAGAGAGAGAGAGAGAGAATCATTTAACTAGATTCAATATTTTAATGGGTTTATCAGTTAACAGATATATACGTTGTTATAAGCCTTCTAATAACATCAATAAAGAAGAATGACGCCATAAAGTAAAATTGAAGAACTAGAAAGGAACACTACGAAAAACAATTACCCAATGCTCTGGGCGTCCGGAAAGGAAGACTGAAGACAGACCTAACTTTTGGCATTATTTATAAACAAATTAAATACTCTCATACTTGAATCCTTGTCCTCAAGCTTATCAGCCAGAGCTTTTACCATTCCAACAATCAATGATCCCTAACTTGAAAGGTACAGCATAGGCCAATATATATAATACATCCTCTACTGGAAAGATTATCAATACCGTATCTAGACTGCTTGAAATCCTTTATGTCCTCCTTGGAAAGGTCGGCATAATCCTGGGGATATTGCACTCTAAAGCTAACCTGCAAGCAAATAATAATAAAAAAATTACAATTTTAACACAAAAATGTCTAAGTCATTACAATCATCAGAAAATTGTAAATATTAGTTGTCAATACAGCAAGGAAAGACAGTTTTGCAGTTTTTTATCCTTTAGCATGCAATTAATAAATTTTGTAACTAAGAAAATTAAATAAATTAAGTTCCACTTGTTCAAAAGAAAACCATCCTTTAGGAAAGAAAAAATTGTGGGAAATTTATTTAGGCAAAGGAAAAACAAAGGAATACAAGATTGAAGGTGATGCACACTCTTATCTTCTGCTGGATGTCTGCATCTTCCCTCACAAACAATAAAAGTTTGAAATGATTTTGTTCAAAAATTATATAGAAGATTAGCAATAAAATGATATTTTAATTTTACATCAGGAAAACTACAACATTGGATTTTGGAACATGAGAACATTTCCTTTCCCAAAGTCATTGAATAGGACTACGTACAAATTTTAACCAAGAAGACTCACCAAGGAAACGAGTGATTCGTATGATGAACGAAAAACCAGAAGCCTCCGGTGTCTCTCTGCTTCAATTGTTGCTTCATTATCAAATGATACATAAGAATCCCTGGGAGAGTAGAATCGTCATATTCAAAAGTTGTTATTAAGCACGCCTATGCAAGTGAGAACACTAGAAAAATTCACCTTTCAACCAAGTTGATTTGAAGATTGTGCCAGAAGTTAAAGGTCATGGAAGCAATATCATATTCAGGGTGTGAAGCAACTTCCAATAATGCATGCACAATTAACATCGATTCATCAGAACCTGCTTAAAAATGATGTTTTGACCAAGAGGACATCATATTAGAATGAATACAAAATAAATGTTACCCGCAAAACCAGGGCCAAACTGCGAACACTATAGAGTAATCTGCAGCAGAATGGTAATGCAATAAATTTTGGGAAAGGGCCTTCTTAGAAGGAGAAATATATACCATTTGCAATCAGTTCAACATACGAATCGCCCATGTCAGCAAATAAACGAGCAATGGCCTTTACATCTTCCTCATCCTGAAAGTAAAATAACAAAAAGAATATCAACATTGCAAGTACTGTTATTACATTTTGCGCAAAAAGCTCTTTATTTGTAATGGTTCGAAAAAGCATTGACAAACAAAAAATAAATACTAATGAACAATAAAAACTGTAAAATGAGGTTCCTTTCAACACAAAGTAAAAAAAAATGATAATAATAATAATAAAAAGTGCAGTCCCTTTACCATAGATTTAGGCAGAATTAGCTTCATTCAAGTTTACAATTGGCATATAAACAATTTTACTTTTGATAAAGACTTATACTATTAAGGCAAGGATGAGAGAGAAAGAAGCACAGCAATATTTTTCTCCACAAAAATCATGCTAAACTTGCTTACTACTCAGCTAGATAAATGAAGTTCAGTTGGCAATATGTTCAGAATAAAAAGTTCCTGGTGGAAAGAGGAAATTGTTATTTTTTTAATATAATAAAAACATATAGCATTTTTTAACAAGAAAAAAACTGATATATGGATTACCAGAAAAAAGAAAGTCAAAGATGTACAAAAAGAAAACCAAAAAGGTATAGATCTGCTATGAAAGCAGTCAGAGATCAATGAGGTATTGTCAGGACTTTTCATCTCAGAAGAAATAACAGAGAAGATTAATTTATGAACGATACAAACATTCCACACTTAGATTACTTGGTGAATGGTGATTCCTTCCGAATAGAGCAAGGGATGACCTCAAACAAATCTTTGAATTTTCTTCCTTGCGTTCACATATTCGGGTTGATGTATGTGCATCTCTATTTTTTGTATCACGTTCATACGTGAAGCAAACCGATTCCAGGGAACTCATTTTATCTTGTCCCACATAAATTGGTCAAGTACACTTATCACCTCCAATATACCAAAAACAAAAAACTGCTGTGTTAAACACTATTGACTCAATATGATAAAACTCGTGTTAAATTTCAATCATAACTTGTGCACAAAAGGACTCAAAATATCTTTAATCAAAGGAAGTGAAGGGAGCTACAAGGTGTTCCAGGATTGGGGAGGATGTTGCCAGTTTAGCTCAACCATTTAAGTGATAGGGGGTGAGAAGAACTACTCATAAATGTTTTCCAATAATTTTAAGAAAAACTTATGGATCCAATGGTTGGCAGCTTATAAAATAAAGGGTAAATTACACTGACCTCTCCTCTAGATTGCGATACACATGGTAGTATGGTACCACTCAGTTTTGAAAATTAACTCGGACCTCCCTGGAGTTTTATGTTCTCACCCACTTCCCCACCTCCATTACAGTTGACCGTTAGTCAACAGCTCTGAAAGATGATGTCATCCAAAAAAAATATAGTAATTCCATTTCTGCCCTTCAAACATGTATAAAGTCTATAGTAACCTTTACTTTTCATATGATATGGCATTTTGACCATATTTTAGTAAAATGGAAGAACAAAATTGCCTTTTGTCCATTTTCTTAAATCAGTTGCTGTTTGTGCTCAAAAAGCACTGTGTCTTCTGCTAGAGTTTTATTGTAGCAGGTTAGTACACATGTACACACACACACACATATATATAATATATCTATATATATATATATATAATATCAAGTTCCGTAACCGTATTAACCAAGATATGGACTACATGTTCACAGAACATATTTCTAAATTAATCTAATTAATAATATAATTCTATTTAAACATAATTAATTAAGAAAAATAAGCATTAATTTGAATTTTGTATTACAAATCCTAAATTTTACAAATTATATTAAAGATAAATGTATATATTAAAAAATGTATTCTTCTACCTAGTTAATAAGCAAATTAGACATTTAATACACCATTATTTGTCCTACTGGGGCATTGAAATTCTCCATTATTAGCTCTCTTTTTTGTTGGGTTCTAGGGAGAAATTGTAATTCCATGGAGAAAATAGTTGATTTTTGGACTCCCTGAGAGTTTAGAGGCCCTATTACGCCTCGTGTATCTTCTGAGGGATGCGTTCCCCTTTTGAATGCCTCTTTAAAACAATTTTACATATCACCAAAAAAAAAAAAAAAAAATACACCGTTATTTGCAAATTTGATAAATATTAATTAAATATGTATACACACACACACACACACATATACATATACGTCTCTCGCCAATTATGTGTAGTTCAGAATTTCAGCAAATCACTTGTATACTCAAGATTCCATCATTGTCTTCTTCGTTATGACCACCACCACAATTCAATTGCTCCAGACTTGTAGGATAAAGAAACAAGAAGCAGCAGACTTTGGCCCTAAACTTAACCCTCCACTTCAACAACGAGTCATCACCACCATGGCAAGAAGATGGAAGCTCAATTTGCAAAGAGCGAGTTTCTCAAAATTCACCAAGGAAACAACAGTGTTTCTTGGAGAGATTATCATTGTGGTCGAAGGGGTTGTGAGAGTCGTCGGAGGAATTGGGTTTCCAGCAAGGGATGGCGAAGGAAAAGGTGAGGATGTGAGGGATTAAGGAGGCAAATCGGGTGGAGAGGAGAGAAATTTGCTGATCAAATTTTATTGCTTTTGATTTGGATTTTTTAGAGTCATACATACATATATATAACTATATATATATAATGCACTAAAACGAAGAAGGAGAGGGGGTGGCGGAGAGAAGACAGAATGAAGAGCAGTGGGCAATTTAGTCTTTTCATATTTTCTCTAAATTAACATAAAATTTGCATTTTTATTAGCATGGGCAGATAAGTAAATTTACAATTTCCATCAACGTCGTCACTAGACAACATCTGACAAGGGAGGTCGGTGTAATTTTGAAAAACTGAGGGGTACTGTGTGTAGGTTTCACAATCTAGAGGGGAGGTCAATCAGTAATATAAAGACATTCGAAGATCAGATTATAACAACCAAATACCTAACAGCAATTTTTTCGGAAGTTAAATACCTAACAGCAATTTTTTCGGAAGTTAAATACCTAACAGCATTGTTTATAAAAATTTACCAACAGATTTTCAGTTTAACTTATTCCCAGTGAGGTTTCATCTCATAAATTCTTAAATGCTCTTCGATATACCTCCGAAAGCCTTGGGGCTATTCTGTTATATATAACTAAAGAAAGAAGCATTGTTCCAAAACTTTAAGAAGAGATCGGCCGACTGTAACACTGTTGTTAAAAATCAACTGGTCTAGAAGCTTAAATTCTTAAAGTGGATGTATGCTTCAACACTCTTCCGCACGTAGGGCCCTTAGTGAATAGAACATCCACCAGAACTAATTTTTTTTTTTTTTTATAAGTAAGAAATGTATAGAAAGCGCTCAAAAGGGCAGTGCGTCCCAAGGGAACAACAAACCAAAAACAAACACTAAGCCTTCAAAGAGGCCAAAAAATCGACAATCTCCTCCCCAGATCTAAGAACCTGAACTAATTATGTGGAGTCAACAGGTTTCAATTACAGGACCTTCCTTGCTACTCTGCAACCATGGTAACAACCAATTCCTTTAAAGTTTGCTCTTGAGAATGAGTACAACAGCAAATTTCAATAAAGGTACAATGTTCCCTTTTTATGGAAAACCTTAAGGTATTAGATTACAGTGATAAAAAACGCATTAAGACAGTAATTAAAGCTCATTCCATCTTTGCTCTTCAAGGCAAGATGAAGAATAAACAGACCGGAAGACTCCACTTGGAACTTCAAAAGAACAAAGGAAGGTTTGGAAAATGCTCAAAAGTGCTATAAAAGAGAAAAAAACATGCCAACACCTTCCTTCCATTTCCCTTGTTCATACAGATGAAATTGAAAAACAAAACCCATTTTCATCATGAAATACAATGGTTATGGCAACCAAATATGAAACACTCCGAAAAGCAACGACAACAGTGTGCAATATGCTCTGTTAAAATACCAACTAGAGAGCAAATACAGTGGCTGAGAAAATGTTTGAGGATGCTTTGTGCATAAGAACTTGAAATCCCTAGGGTTAATGGAAGTTTCTGTCTCAGAAATCAAAATGTCACTGTCATCAGCTATTGCCTACACCATAAATAAATAAAAGAAAGTTTTTTAAGAGTAAGAGTTCTTCATATGCTAGTCAAGCCAGAGTTTTGATCCAAATGGCACATAAAAGACACTAATGCATGAAATTCACCACTGTATATATTTCTTGGGTGCCAGATGAGTTTGTTACGATAGTACCATCTTTTGCAGATCATGCCAATCAACCTCACACTAATAAAATAAGAACAACAACATAACAACAATAACAGTCAAACAGTAGTAATGATTTCATAAAAGTTAACCAATTCTTCCTTTTACAGTTCGGACGACGAGGAGAAGGGGGTTTGCTAAATCATTTCAATAGGAAGGATTACCCATTCCAAAGGTAAACCACTTGGCACCCAAGATAAAATATATGAAGTTCTGTTGAAGAGATACCTTCGAAGAATCTCTAAGCTGTGCTTTAAGACTCATAACTTGAGGCACAATAACTTGAATTAAAGGCATCTGGGCAGAAACGCCACCTGAGTTTCGTGCTGTTGAGTAGTGTATCAATTCAGAAACGACTGCAACAAAAGTTTTCATCAAGAATGTCTTAGAAATAATTCAAGAATTTCATAGACTAAAACAGAAGTTCTCATCAAGTATAAAAGAGATTACAGACCAAGGGCTGTAGCCTAGTGGTACTTCCCCACCTTAGTAGAAAGTCGAGGGTTCAAGTCTCCATTGGGGCAAAGTGGGTGTGTGAGTGTGTTTCTTGCCAATGAAAAAAAATAAAAATAGAAGAGATTACAGCCACTCCCATCAAAAACCTGGGTACAGCTCTGGGCTTTCCAAATCATCATCATCATCACCGCCTTAATCTCATATGAATAGGGTCGGCCACATGAATCATCTCTCTCCAATCTTTTCTACTACATGCCATTTCACCAACTATATTTAACTCTCTTTTTTTTTTGATAAATAAATAATTCATTAAACAAAAGCGTTCAAAAGGGGAACACATCCCTAACAAATCACAAAAACCTGGGTACCCTAAGGCCCCAAGAAAGCCAAAACCTCAATAGTCTCCTCAGCAGAAGAACAGAGTCTAACTCAATACTATATTTAACTTTTTAAAGTCATTTTTAATAACCTCATCCCATGTTATACTTGGTTGCCCTTTTCTTCTCTTACCTTCTATCACAACTCGTCTCCCTCATTTGACCAACGCGGCTCTAGGTCTCCGATGTATGTGTCCAAACCATCTCTAAGCCTACTCTCCCTAATTTTCTCACCAATGGATTCTACACCTAATTTCACACTCACACTTTCATTAGTGATCATATCCCTTCTAGTCAGTTCACTTATCCATCTCAACATTCTAATCTCCGCTACATGAAGGCGCTGTTCTTGTTTGTTTTTCAGGGCCCAACCCTCTGCTCCTTACAGCATAGTTGGTCTATAAACGATTCTATAAAATTTTCCTTTAAGCCTATATGTTATTCTTTTATCACATAATACCCACTAGCTTGTCTCCATTTTGTCCAAATCACCCCAATTCTACTAGTTATATATCTCCATCATTTTGGATTATCGATCTTAGGTAGCAAAAATGATTGTTTTGAGTAATCTTTTGATTTTGGAGTGTTATCATTAGATTATCAACGTCCGAATATTTATTAAATTTACAATCCATATACTAAGTTTTAGTTCAAGTAATTCTCAATCCTTTCAATGCTACAGCATTTCTCCACATTTTTAGTTTCATTGCTAATTTCACTTCAGAGATTTCCAAGAGCACAATATCATCAGCAAACATATGCACCATGGAAACCATGTGATGATTTCTGTCACATATTACTGCCCTTTTAGTTATAACTTGATCCTAACACCTTTTTTCTTTTAGGGGGTGGTGGAAACCATATGATGATATAGTTATTTAAGGCTCGGTGCACATTGCTTTTTTTATTCTCATAATTAGATTTATGGGATTGTTGTTAGTAAAAATAAAACAGAAACCACTTTCTCAGATTTTTTTCCCTCTGCCGTAATTGGGTCCTTTGGTCCCAACATTGAGTCCAAACTAGCATGACCCCAAGGACCCATTTATTGAAAGGATTGTGTGCCATGTCAGATTCCTCTTTAATCAATGGGTCATGTCCATGTTTAGAGTATTCACCTTCTATCAAACAGGCCATATTCAGTAAGCACTTAACCCTTTAAACGCATCTTGATTTGAAATAACACGACCAAAGCATGACCTGACAAGATTATCTCCCCTACCTTCCACCGAAAAGGAAAAATATCAGCAGTACCCTGGAAAATCCACAAGCACTCCGCATTTGCAATGAATATCACTATATGCCATGCAATTACAGATCCAATAAAACTTCCAAAACGAAATCACAGATCCAATAAGCATTAACTTTGCTCAATTATCGCATTCCATACTTTTCCATTTAATACCAATGTTGTAGTGTCATTGCATACACATACAAACATCTAAAACTATAGAAATCATCCAGGATCAGACCAGACTGACACCCAGTACATAGTAACACAGCCCCACACATAGCCACATTCATGTGGCACAGCACACCACCCTCTTATCACTACTTTCAGCCCAAAAAAAATTAAAACGGATGCTGAAACCGAAAACAGGCTGGTTGACCCTTCCCCTTGCGAGGTCCAATAATCTTCAATCTTCTCCTAACACTGTCTTGAAATCCACTGACTATCTTCCCTTAGGCTACATTTGGGTTTGTAGATTTGGGCCCACTGAATTTGAAATACTTATCCGAAATCCACGTGACATGTTTGGATGACCAACCGACCCAAGGATTTTAAATCCGGTTAAATCAGAATTTAATGACCCAAAGTTCATGGATTTCAAATAAAGCCTGATAGGGCGTTATTTCCCAATTCCAGATCGTCCAGGCATTCCAGTCTTCTACTCTCACCCCGCAACCATGACTTGGTGATTCTCTCCTCCATCTCTTCACCGCTATCGGATCTGAATCTCCTCACTTCCAATGATGGCCATATGAATAGCAGATGATGACCGAAACATTAAATGTGTAATCAAAACGTAACATGATATACATATTAGTTTATATACAAAAGATGTTCAATGCATAACCTATTAAAGCATGCAATGGAAGATGATAAATGAAACATTAAATGTGTAGTCATAACTAGATGAATAACCTACACAAAGAACACTTGAGGACAAAAGACAGTCTCAACCTCAATGATAAACAATAATACTTTCCTGACAGCTTTGTTTTTGCTCACTCTTCCGTTACATACTCATGTTTCACCTTCCTCACATAATTGTTTCCTACTTCAACTACAAGCTGTATTATTGTAAAGTTAATAGTTTAAATTCTATAGTTATGTTGCCTTGAAATAGACATGTTAGTTCAATGAAACGCACTGAAACCCAGCATCCACTGCATATTTTGATAAACCGTCTCATAGTATAAATGATCATAATATTTGCCTAGAATCAGATAAATACCAGAATGATTTTTAATGGCCAGAATGATTTTTAATGGTGCAAGCAAACAATAGTTAAGATGTAATGTGTATGTCCGTAGAGCAATTTTACAACCCGATGGCACTGCAGAAGTTCTTACATCCCATCAAAGACAATGTAACATTATAATCATAATAAAAGCTTCACAGCAACAAATACTGAGATATCATAATTGTAGCCAAAAAGAAAAAATTTAGGTAGTCAAATTTATTGTACCATTTACTGACGCCTCTAAAAGCAAATCAGAATTCAAGCTAGAGAGAGCTGCAAGGACTAATGGGTGAGAAGCAAGTGTAGACGCAGGGATCCTGAAACCAACATAAATTCAAATAATAGGATCATCATATGCATCAGAAAAAAGAAATTTACACAAACAAATAAATAAATAAATTACAATGACCGAGTATACCATCATATTAAAGCCCCACATACCAAATCAACAAGCAGTAAATTTCAAGAGAGAGAGATAACTATCTCAATACTGAGCTGACACTGAAATATCTGTAACTCTGTATACACATCCTCACATGTAGAGTTGTGCGATTTTCTAATTCATTATCACCAAGTTTCAGAAAAGAAATGGAAAAATTCAAAAGATTTCTGTATGCAAGTAATTTTTTTCCTAGGAAGCACAGCTACATTTAAAAAAATATTTAAATAAATAATCAAAGTGTTCTCAAGTAAGAACAATAAAATGCAACTCTGTATACATATCCTCACATGTAGAATTGTGCGATTTTTCTAATCCATTATCACCAGGTTTTAGAAAAGAAATGACAAAATTCAAAAGATTTCTGTATGCAAGTAAATTTGGTCAAAGGAAGCACATCTACATCTTAAAAAATATTAAAGTGAACACAAGTAAATACAATAAAATACACACACATCCATATATATACACACACATATATATATATGAAGAATATAGAATCAACCCCAAGGGGTTGGCCTAGTTGGAAAAGACTTGGGCCCTAGTGCCTCATTAAGCATCAGGTCTCAGGATCGAATCTTGCTAGGTGCAAACAATTCCTTGGAGGGGTGTGAGTGCCAACTAGGATAAAAAAAGAATATAGAATCATTGCCCAAGGCTCTGATAACGTTTCAAATTTTAGTTAAACTTTGTCCAGTTTTCAGTTAATTGGTTATCCATGTATCCCAATTACATTCACAAACACATAAAATAGTAAAAATAAAGCAAAGACACAATTATTTACATGGAAATCTCTCAGAAGGGAAGAAGCACAGGACCCTTGGTCCATGCATGAACAATCCACCATGAGAAAGGTTTACAAAACTTGGTTACCAGACTCTTAACCCGAATAATTCCCTAGTTAACCCTGACCAAGACTCACGCTACAAACTTGACCACCCACAAGCATGCTCTCCATAGTTTTTCAGATTCTCGTTTTCTGCTAATCACCCAGTTGATACTTTTTATGGTCTTTGTTGTGCTCCTTGCCTTGATTCTCACAATCACGTAGAACTTGGTTGTCTATGATACCTTTCAAAAAAAACTTGCTCGTCTATGAAACCATAGATTTAATTTTAAAGCCTTCTCTCTCTAAAGTATGCACAGAACTGTAAAAAACATACCCTAAACTGACTATAAGCCCATAGTTATAGTCGATATAGGAGTCCTATCTGAAACAAAAAGATAAATCCTTTTAAAAAACTGTTTTAAGAAAAGCCCCACTGAAGATTGTTAAGGAGATTGTTGAGTTTTTGGGTTCCTTGGGTCTGCATGACTTTTTTTTGACTTCGGCCTTGTACAGTGCCTGGGATGTGGTCCCCTATTGAACGCTTTCTAACAAACTCTTATTTATCCAAAAAAAAAAAAAAAAAAGCCCTGCTGAAGGTGGCTTTTTTTGGATGGACAGCAGCCTTGGGGAGGATTATCAATTTATCACTACTAACAACCCGAGGAGGCGGCGGCAGATGTTGCACAATGCTGCATGTGCAGGAGTCAGTAAATCATCTTCTCATGCATTGGTATAGTAAATCAGTGGAGAAGGTGTATAGTGGGGAAGCAAGCCTGAGATGCATGGCATGCGGCCCTCCTTTGCCTATGGTGACTGGTGAGGTGTATGGCGGGAGAGAAATAGGACATTATTTGGAGGGGAAGAGTCCTATTTGGGCACTCAAATTCCATATTCTTAGTTCTTTATTTTTTTGGATACATGGTCGGTATAGTAAATCAGTGGAGGATCTCAAGTATTTTTGGATAGTTTGAGCATAAAAAAATTTTGGCCTTTTCTCAGTTGTATATGGGATGCGTTCCCATTTGAGCACTTTTCTATGAAATCTTTACTTATCAAAAAATGCTTTTCAAGAAACACACTTAAAAGATAATTTCAAGCCTCGAAAGATCAAACCTAGGTCATGGATGGAACCTAAGATCTCATATTATCTTAATCTAGATATGTAAATGAGTTTTGGGGGTTTTTTGAGATATTCTTCACTGTTCTTCAACTTCACCGTCTTCTTTCAGTCAAACGGCACAAAACACAAATTACAATCCCAGCACCACCCTACTCAATACTCCCTTTGTTCCAAAATAAGCATCGCCCTCTGAAAATCTAAATTTTTTAAGGAGACATACATTTAATGCATTGTCCCCCTTGAAAACTACCTAACTAATCCAACCCAATATAAAATTTAAGTTTTCAAAACCCAAGGAATATTTAGGAAAGTTAAACCTTAAAATATCCTAAAAATGTAGGTAAACATTTATTTTGGTACATCCCTGAAAGGAAAGCATGACATTTATGTTGAGGCAGAGGGAGTTTTCTAACATAAGATACTCTTAATTGTTAAAAAAGTCAGCAAAATTACTAATGGTTTTCCATGGTTAAGGAAAAAAAAAAAAAATCAGTTTCATACAAAATATAACACGTACGCTTCCCACTAAACACACATTAATTACCAACAGGCCAGTGGCCTAGCGGTATTGGCTTCTTACTTCCCCAAGGGAGGTCAGAGGTTCAAGTTTCAGAAGAGACATGTGTATGTGAGTACCAACTAGGAAAAAAAAAACACACATTAATTAAGATGAAATAACAAAACAAGAAAAGGACAAGAAGTTCGGCCACATATTAAGAAATCAACAAGAACTAAAGTGAAACTACTACTATAGGAAAGCAACAATTCTAGACCATCTTCAATAGAATGAACTTCTGCACAAACGTTGTACGTGACCCAAATTTACTAGGTGATTTCTAATGAGACCTTCACCTGCACTCAGACCCAGACTCCAATTTCTCTTCCCTTATATGAAAATTTTATTTATGAAAATTTTATATCTTCTACCTTATTTAAAAAACAAAAAAAGGAGGAAAAGGTGGAAACATAACGTCGTGAGTAATGTAAAAAAAGTAACAACATTTTGAACAATACTGCTTTTTTCCCCCTTTTGGTAGGTGAATCACACAAGCACCTTGTTCATATTTTTGTTAAAATAATGAAGAAATTTAAAATAAATGTTCCATAAAAATTATCAGCTCCCCATCTTTGAGACTATTTCTGGTCATTCTGGGAATAGTAACTGCTCATTTGATCATATTATTGAAGTATTCAAAATATAACCATGTACTTCTAAAATCCTATCTTCCATTCAGCTCTTTACCATGCAAAGAATGAGACTTCATCATCTCTCACTAGAAAGGGTCTAGACTATTTTTTTGTTTTTTTTTTTTTTGGTAAGTAGAAAGGGTCTAGACTATATATAAGAGAAAATATTTAATAACAGTCGAGCAATTACCAAAGGTCCTGCAAGGAAGGATTCTTTTATGAAGCTTGAGATATTATTCTTTAAGCATTAGAGATCTAAAAATGATCTAGCTATTATAACATTAATTCCTGACAGAGTCATTAAATGTACCAAAATTAAATAAGATGAGGGATATCAAAACATCCCTGGTCAAGTAACAAGTAATCCCAAGGGCATAAATTCTCCTTGGAAAAGCATAGAATGTATGTTTCTACCCCAGTACCTAGAACGATTAACACTTTGTATACCAACTAAATTGTCCAAAAGGTCCTCAATATGTGACCAAGACAATCACAACCACCATAAGACAAACCACCAATCAAAATTTAGGCTACATATATCACAAAATACTTCCAATTCTAAGGCAACCAATCTTGTGACACAACCAAATTTCTGTAAATCTGGACATCCAAAGATACAAAGAAGAGAAGCAAATACCTATGCCTTAGCCGAAGCCAAGAAGCAAATGCCTCAAGAACCTGCAAGGTAATTAGATAATCAGAAATCCAAATGAGAAAATAATTCAAAAGCTAGTGTTAGACGTCCTCAAGGTAAACTTTTCTAGTGGCAAGATTCTTCTGTTTTCAGAATAGACCATAAGAAACCATAACACCAACGTACATCATTGCTAATAAACAAGCGCAACCATAAACACCAGGAGAAGAAGTTGAATACAGCCCCTCAAATGCACAACAAAAGGTTTGAAGCAATTGGAGGTTCTTTAAAGCCCAGGCCACCAAATGTGACTTGATATGGAGACAACAGTAAAATCAATTCAAGCAGTGTGACATTTTATATGAGTCTATGAAGACTCGAGATGAAGGTAAAGATTCCAAGAAAAATTAGAAAAACATTTTTTAATTCTTAATTGCTTCAGGACCATGTCTCAGAAAGAATACACCATTTTGCCGTTTGGAAGTGGCTTCCTCTGAACACCTTAGGAGAAGTGATATCATCAAGAAAAGGTGGATATATCATATACCACTATATTAGCTTATTCCTTTCGAATCTAATGTCATTCAAATATTCCAATAACATTGATTTAAAATATTACAAATGAAAAAATCAAACAGCATGGAATCATTACAGATTTAGAATTTCAAGTTAATCAAAGATTCTATTATGCTTGATGGACAACGTAAGAACAAATCAAAAAACCTCAAAGCTGAAACCAACTGGAAAAAGGGGTAAATTACTCTCTCCTACCCTGAGGTTTTATCAAATAACCACAGATGAAAGTTCTATAAAAATAACTGACACCCCTTGTCAGAATTTGTCATACAAGGGACGCTAAATTATTAATCTAAATGGCACTTTAAACCTCAAATAATATTAATATATTTTCAATTAACAAGACAAATTTGAGTGGCAATGAAAAGACTATTATGCCCTTCCTAAACTGCCTAATTTCATTTTTAAAACCCATCTCATACTCTCTCTACAGTTCTCTTCCTTCTCCTGATCACAACTCAAACAATCCAATCCAATCCAATCCCATCCATTCACATCCCACTGCCATTCTTGTACTCCACATCTATCACTCAGCCATCGTAGCCACCGCCATCAATCCATCCACCGCAGTTGAACCAACATGATTGACATGTGCACTTGCAGCTTAGATATGAACATTTTTTCTGTAAAAAATTATTGTTAGAAATTGTATTGTGTGTTGCCATATTGTGTCTAAAACAATGATTGAGTTGTAGTTTTGTTTCTGAGTCTTTCTGTTGAAAGCGTCAACATACATATGACTCAAAGGTTCAAGCTCATCAAATTAAAGTTTCATCAATTGGGAACAGACACTCTAGGTACAGGTAAGTAGAGTGGTGTTACGACATTATTTTAAAGTCCTTTTCTTTTTAAAGTGTCAAAACAAGTACGAGTTGGAAATTTGACCAAGTAGTTTAAGTCTGGACAGTGCATTGGTCCAACTTCAATTTGCACTGGTTCATGAGGCTGCTGGTTTAAATTAAGCTCAAACCAAAATGCACTTGCACCGGTGGAACTTATGAATGAATTGGTCCAACTTGTTTCTGTTCAAATTTAATTTGGGAAAGAATGCACTTGTATCAGTCAAAATTGAGCATGCAATGGTGGAACTTTAGTTCAGAGAGCAGTTGCAGTAGTTCAACTTTGACTTGCACCGGTCCAACCTCACCAGTATCAACTAAGACTTAAAAATTTATCCTATTACTTTGATCTCTAAGAAACTTCTCCCAATGTTTTTAGAAGACAATCAATTGGAAAACAGAATTCTATGGATATAAAAGCTCAGATATGATTTCTTTTACAGAGAGAACTCTAATTGCAAAATTTAAGAGCTTTTTGAGAGAAAAAAACAAGGAGAAATTTATGTCCATTCTTTTAATATATTCACGCTTTTATGCAAGAATGTTAGCCCGTGTGGTCCTCCTGATCGTTGAAATCCATGCTATAATATTGTCATCATCCTAGATGATGATAGCAGCAGATCAAATAAATTTCTTCGCAGGCGCTAGTGGAAGGAGAAATTCGTGTTGATCACTCTTAGGAGCGGCTATCATGATTGTGTTGACGTGGATCAGTAGCGTTGGTGATTTCAAAGGCACTGAAATCCGAGGACACTGAGCATTGGAGATAAATCAACTGCAACTCCTTCCAAACACACTGGAATCAGCAACTTATAGGGAACAGTTCTGAAGACACTGGAACTCATACTCCTTCTCTACTATAGTGTATCAGATCGCCTGAGGCGACCTTGTCTCTGTTTTTTTTTCCCTTACTGAGGTTGTCCACAAAAAAAATCCTGGTGTCATCTCTCTCTCTCTCCTTGCTCCTTATTTTATTAGTTATTGTATGTTGGCTTACTTGGTTTGCATTTTAACTCACTGAAAATCGAATTAAGTTCAAAAACAAGCAAAAGAACAAACCAGACCTATTCACCCCCTCAAGGTCTATCTAACTGAAACGTTTTCACAACCACGTCCGCATTGTGCAACACTCAATGGACACATATTCAAATTATGTGCTTAACAGACATAACGAATCACACAAAAAAAAGACAGTCATGAACCTTTTTCTAACAGAAATGAGTCCCAGTAAGGCAACAGTAACTTCGAAATTCCTTTTTTCTCTCCAATGCTGCCACTCAGTGTTATCAAAAGGCACTAGAGGTCTTGGGAGGCAAGGCACTCGCCTGAGTGAAGCGAGGAGCACAATTGAAAAATTAAATATCTATTAAAGCATATTCATATTCTATATTAAAGGCGCAAATGTTGTCAAAGGCACACCTAAGCACACAACAAGCGCAAGTGTGGCACCTGTATGAGCCTGGAGCCTAGGCGCGCCTTTAACAACACTGCTGCCACTATCTCTCTCTCTCTCTCTCTAAGCCACTTCAATTTCCACCATAACCCAATCCATTGGGACCTCTACCATCTTACGGGTAACACTGCCATCACACATCCACACGCAATAAACCCACGGTAAGTAAGAACTAGAAGAGTTCATAATTGAAGAAAAACCCAAGAGCAATAGGGAATAAGACGATCATCTTATACAAAATAAGGAGAGAAGATAAGAAAGTGAGATAGGAAAGACGTCTACCACTTAAATTATAGGATGGGTTAGAATAGAAGTAAAGAGATCAGATACAAGAAGAATGGACAGAAAGCAAGAAAGAAAGAAACAAAGAGGGGGAGGAAGAAGAAAAACGAGGAGAAGCGGAAGTAGGGGTTTCGATATAAAAGCAATCCTGGGCAAAGAAAACTATACCAAATTCTTAAAACATCAATAGCAAGATCATAGCACATGTTCTTTGTTGGTCTTTGGGCTCAGTATGTAGCAGCCCGAGTATGAGAACTAAAAAGGAAAGTAACAACATAGTGTGTATACATTTAGCTCCTAAATAAAATTTTAAGCCTAGAACCTTCAATTGTGTGTCTACCAGTTAGGCACAATCTTGAAATGGATCTTAATTCATAGAGGGACAAAATATTTCAAATAACTAAAAGGAAACACATAGTATTAAGCATGATTCAGCTGGTAGGCTCCGGCTTATATTACACATTGGGGCTTAAATCTCAATCCATTTTCATTATGAGACCAATTTATATGCCTCTAAGAAGCCTAAAATCAACTAAAACTTCAAAAACAGCTCTAGCCCACTTCAAAAACTTCACTGTCAAACACAAAAAGTTGATCAAAGACTAAAGAGATAAAAGACAACAAGCTACATATAGGACTCAATAGCAGTACAACTGAAGCTATTATCCATTTAAAGGGGAAAAATAAACCAGTTATGCTATCAACGAGACAAAAAGTTGAAGATTTGGCAACTTGCTTTCACATTTGTCCAGTTCCACCACACCAAAATTCAGAAGTACGACCAACAGGCCAGTGGCCTAGCAGTACCAGGCTCCTACTTCCCAAAGGGAGGCCAAGGGTTCAAGCATCAGTGGAGGCATGTGTGTGTGAGTACCAATTAAGAAAGAAAAAAAAAAAATCAGAAGTACGCTTATCAAATGGCCAATACAATCAAAAGATCAAATCAAGTGGAAAAAATAATATTCCTATGTAAAATAGAACACAGGCAACCAAAAGAAGATGAGCTCTCACCTGCTCCTTAAGTTCATTAATATTCAAACAAGCAGTCAAGATGTTAAGAGCAACCTCCATTGCAGAAGCCAATTCTTTTTCAAATTGGCGGCGTCTATCAGGACGAGCTGCAATCTTGTAGTTGAATACTTCCTGGTGTGAAGACAAAATAGTTACAAGTAACTTCCAGCACACAATGCGATAAAAAAATATATGGTAACCGCATTCTATGGCAAACAATATGTACGGTAGATAAGCATCTCATCTTGCTCTGAAAACGATTCCAAAATGCATCAAAGTATCAACAAGGTTAGTAACAGTGTAGTCTTACCTGGCCAGATCCCTTACCAACTGTATTAGACCTCAGGCAAGCAGCAATAAGGGATAACTGACCGGACACATCTAGGAAACCCATGCAGCATACCTATTGACACCCTTGATATATGTATATTGGACACAATACAAAATAGATGCTTATTACTGCTGAAGGATATAAATATTAAAGTTACACGCTCTCTAACAGCTTAAGCTTTTGGAGTAGATGGTTGTTAACAATTACAATTGTAGATGGGCCCAAATCATGACCAGATAAAATCAATGTACCTAGTTTATAAAGTACTTTAAACAATTCAAAGCACAAACTCTAGCATTAAATTACTGGCTCAGAATCATAGCTTTCTCAGATTGAATGCAGTACCTGTTGGGTGCGAATTTTATGTGTTTCCAGTGAATGTTATATATAAGACCACATAGCTTTATCTTCTTACCGATTGTTGTTAGTTCTACCTACGCATGGTGCTTGGAGGGCTGGACCAACTACTTGAAGGGTTGTTAGTTGACTTAGTTCTACCTATTCAGTGCACAGTTTACTTATATCACATTTCATAGATTTCTTATACTGAAGTTGTGATATAAATGCCAATCTCATTACAATAGAGCTGCTTTGGTATCCACTGTCAGACCCCAACATATTTACTAGCACTTAAGGCGCAACTTTAGTCATACATGGACTACAATTTTATCCCCTCTTTTTTCCAGACAAATATAAGTAGATTCCAAAGAATTTTTTGTTTCGAAATATAAATTGATTTGTTTATACCTCAGGCAAAACTCTGAGTAGCTCCAGAAAACTTTGAATGCATTCAGGATGAGAATTCATCTCATCTCTAAGCCAATTCACAATACCACCTTCCCCCCAGTCTTCTGCAGATACATGTACAGCCAATGCAGCCACCGCAAGACTAATCTACAAAGTGAGACATTTTAGCACAATATACAGTAAATTACAGGTTGAGTTTGTGTCACTGTGAAAAGAAAGCCTCCAATAATACCTGGGTTCTAACTTTAGGAGGGCCCTTATGAAATGTTTTTAATAGGCTCTGCACATAAAACCACAAAGCAATCAAGCTTGACTACAGTAAAAGATACACTTACATCACTTAAATAAATATATGCATAAGTAATAAGACATGTTCTCACACTAAACAGAAGAAGAAAGAAAAAAAACAAAAACCAATTTCACTGAAATGAAAAAGAACAGTGACTCTTGAACCTCTTTCCACTCTTTCTTCACACAAGAGGTTCACCATTTAAGAGCATATGATATAGGGCTAGGTTGGCTAGCACAATGCACAAGGCTTCCGCCATTGCGGGGTCTGGGGAGGATCAAATGTATGCAGCCTTACCCGCACATGAAGAGGCTGTTTCCGGTTTCAAACCCGTGACCTCCAAGCCACAATGGAGCAACCTTACTGTTGCGCCAAGGCCCACCCACATATAAGAACATATGACATCCAAACTTAAATCAAAACAGCAATTCATTGGATCTTTCCACATCTCGAACTCTTGTTCAATATCATCTTTATTCAAACACAAACTGCCCATACTTCATCACCATTTAATTGATAGATATAAGTGCTTCTATTTGTGTAGACATAGCAAAACTTTTGGCTCCAGATCATACTGGGGAGGCAATTTATTGTAATAGTAATAATATTGAATTTCAAAGCTCCCCAGTTGAAAAATCACAATTTTCGGTGATATGGACAAAGAATTTAATAATTTACTGCAATTTAAATTTCACACTGAAATTTCAAGCCCAAGATAGATGTGTAGGAACTATTACTCACATTTAAAGAATCACGCAATGGGCGAAAAGCTTCTAAGGGTAGCTCTTCAAAATCTTTCTGTACCTATCAATCAGAAACAAAATTCACTGAAGATTTAATTGCTAAAAAAAAATGGATTTGCCTAAACATAAATTAACATTAAAATAACAGATAGAAAAACATATTCACACGTGAATAGTATCATAAAATAGTAGAATACACGTGGAAATATAATGACCAAGAAGAAATGGATTACCTTGCTTCTCAGGGTTTGAGAACAAAATATTAACGTTTCTTGATTGCTAGTTGCATCATGAAGCAAATTATCAGAGACCTAAACAATAAATGAAAATATTGATAAATCCAAAATAAAACAGATCGGATATTACATTTAGCTGAAAAGAAAATCATCTTAACTTAAGAAGAGGCTTAAGTAATGACATAAAAATAAACATCGTGTAATAGCAACTTGTGGTTTACACACAGGAATAAACGCATAATCACCAAGACAAGAAGCATGATTCTTAAGAACAAAAAACAAAGACATTTTGAGCATGCACTCTATGAGAAGTATAATTTTCATAGTCAAGAGGCCAGGAAGAGAACTTTAGACTCCAGAGTAACACTTGAGGATGAAACTATCTGATGGTATTGGGACTTGCTGTCTTGGCAAATTCTATTTAAAAAATTCTTACGTTGTATTTTTATTTTGCTGTCGGACATCGAGTGAATCAAGTCTTTGTGAAGATCACTAAGAGTATAGACAACCTAACACACATTGGGACAGTTGTTCCAGGCATTATACTCTCGGTCAAGTAGAGATTTTCACTACCACTAATAACTAAAATCTAATTGCTAACATTAAAAAAAATTGCTTTTTAATTTTCCAACACTTTTACAGCAACCCAAATAAGCATGAAAAATAAGTTCCTCTGCAAACAGATTGAAAAAAAAGAAGAAGCAGATTTTATAGATTCATACGCTGTACCCATGACAAATTTGTAGAATTCAATACTTATTATATATACACATATTTCAAAAATGAAAACCCTAAATTCAAATTCAGTCCGCCTCAAGATTCGCACATACTATTTACAAATACAAATCAAAGTTCGTTCAAATAAACACTTCCACAACACACGAGCTCGCCTTCGCAAACAAAACTAATTGATCCAATTGTTGCAGTACTGATTTCAAACACTGCTTTAAATCAATACACCAACTGAGGGCAGAAATTGCATATACGATGCATATATCAATAAAATGAATCAACAGAGATCGAAGATTGAATCGGATAGAGAGAGAAAGAGAGAGGGCAACAGTACCTGCCAAGCATCGAGAGTTCGTTGGAAGTCTTGAAGCCATCGATCGGCTTGCAAGCGAACGGCGTCGTCTGGGTGATGGTACAGTGCGTTTAGGGCTTCTTTCACTGTGTTCTGGAGCTCCATGCTGGCCAAATCGCCAAATCGGAAATCGATGATATAGATAAATATATATATATATAGATATGTCTGTGTGTTTGTGTGTGTATATGAATATATATGTGTGTGATGTAAACAATAGCAGTAGAGACTAGTAGCAGTAGTTCTTGGCCTGTGATTGGTATATCTTTGTTTTCATTTGCTTTTTGATTTTTCTATATAATTTTTTTTTTGACTCCAAGGGTTTTGGCGCCCCGGTAAAGGAACTGTGAGCCTGTGATATGATCATGGACGGCAAGTAAATAAAGACTACAGCCATTCGATCTAATCCATTGTGTTTGACATATGGTAAATTTCTTGTGGCGACCTTGCGACGGATGTGTTGTCGGCGGGTACGAGACACCGTGAGTTATCACACTACTAAGTTATGGATGCACAATTTCATATCGTTTAAGTAAAAGAAGTGCGAAGTGCTTATATGTGGTAGAATGGGTCATTAAAAATTTGATAACAGAGCTTGACCTAGTTGAAAGTATAGCCAACGAGAACATTAGGCCCGAAGGGAGTGGTTGTTACGATCTTATAGACGTGTTTGTCGTTAACGGGTGCGAACCACTGACAAACTATCACAGAGAGTTACGTGTACACTCAAAATTTTCGATCTAATCCATTGTGTTTGACATATGGTAAATTTCTTGTGGCGGCCTTGTGACGGATGTGTTGTCGGCGGGTACGAGACACCGTGGGTTATCACACTACTATGCACAATTTCATATCATTTAAATAAAAGAAGTGCGAAGTGCTTATATGTGGTGGATTGGGTCATTAAAATTTGATAACAGAGCTTGGCCTAGTTGAAAGTATAGCCAACGAGAACATTAGGCCCAAAGGGAGTGGTTGTTATGATCTTGTAGACGTGTTTGTCGTTAACGGGTGCGAACCACTGACAAACTATTACAGAGACTTACGTGTACACTCAAAATTTTCGAATTGATTCATTAATAATATAATATATACAAATATTATAGATACACGTTCTTGCTGAATGAGTTATTAATCATTCTAATAACTAGATGCATTTATTTAAAATTTGTTATAATGATGTGCCACTACGATTCTTTTTTTATTGTATGTTAGCTGGATGCGTTAATATTCATTTTTTGTTGATTCATTTTTATTATTACTTTTAAATATATGTAAACTATTGTTTAATAAATTGATAATTCAATTGGGTTGTAGTCAAGAAAAAAATTTTATTGGACTCTTTAGAAAATCGAATCAATAGCTACAATTTGATGTTTTATGGATTAAAGTGGCTCGGATTAAAGCTTCGAGCAGATCGAATTAATTTCAAATTTCATAAATCTATAGGATCAAATTAGTTTACTGTTAATATCTAAACCAAACCTATTCGCTCTTTGATCACCCTATAATTTAGCATCGAACGCATATAGTCCGTGTCCTGTAAACACTAGTGATTGATTTTGTAAAAGTTTATTTTATTGCCTTCCAAATAGTAAATGAGTGTTTTTTTTTATTAACTATTGATTCGGTAGCGATCTCTTGTTCAAAGTGGAGCAAACACTTTCAATAATGCCCAGTTAGATTAAAGGGATAATTCCATAAAAATTGAGTTTTGGGGGTCAAAGAACAAAAAAATGGAGTCAAAATTAAATTTTTTAAATTAATGAAATTTTTTTAAAATCTGAGGTGGATATGAAAATTTACTATACATCTTAATTTGTTACCTAAAGTAACCTTCATTCATTGTCTTTTTCTCTCTCTAACCTCAACATATCAAATGGGTCTCTCTTCTCTGTTTCCTTCGCCCACCACCTCCATCCTCTCCAGCCACCCACCACCACCATCATCACATCACCAAATAAATTACAACACCCAAATATATACAAATATAACGATACAAAACGAATTCAACAACCCACTTCAGAATGCACCAAATTCAAAACCCAAAATTCAACAATTCGAACTTCAAAATTTAAGTCACATTATTCACTTTCAGGGCAATACATCTAAGTTCCAAAGGGTATGTAACCGATTAAAAATTAAAATTGAACCAATGTGGTAATGTGTCTCTAGTTCCAAAAGCAGTAGAACAGTCATAGTAGCGAAAACAGCCATTACAATATCAATTAGACAACAATTGGTTCCTGGAATAAAATTAAATGCAGAATAAATAAATAAAAAACAAAGCTGATAAAAATAATATATGCAACATCCCTTCCTATCAAACAGTTGTAATTTGTTTAAACATTGTCAACCGCAAAAGATAATTCGTTTAATTTGAAACAATTTCAACTAGAATAATCCTCTTAATCTTAAAAAAAAAAAAAAAAAAAAAAATTGAATAGCCACCCGAATTTTGGGTTTTGAATTTGGTGCATTCTGAAGCAGATTGTTGAATTCATTTTGTATTGTTATGTTTGCATATATTTGGGTGTTGTAATTTATTTGGTGATGTGATGATGGTGGTGGTGGCTGGCCGGAGAGGATGGAGGTGATGGGCGAAGGAAACAGGGAAGAGACCCAATTGATCTGTTGCAGAGGTTGGAGAGAGAAAAAGACAATGAATGAAGGTTATTTTAGGCAACAAATTAAGCTGTACAATACATTTCCATGTCCACCTCAGACTTTGAGAAAATTTTATTAATTTGGAAAACTTAATTTTGACTTTATTCTTTTGTCCTTTGACCCCCAAAATTCCATTTTTATAGAATTATTCCTAGATTAAATTTAAGGGTGAACTGCATTAAACTCCCCTTGTCTATCTATGTCTTGCAATAAACCCCTTTTTTTATTTTTTTGCCAAAAAATCCCCCTCAATTATCCAAGAGGGGGTGATTTAAGTAACGAAAGTTAGCTAAAAGGGAGTTATTTGGACATTGAGTTTTATCATATATTTTTGAGGCAAAAATGTCCATGTACCTGTTTTAATATACTCCACATATATATTTACTACATTATCACTCTTAGCATCACATCATCCACCATTGCAGTAGCACGTACTTTTCTTCTTACTCAATTATATATATATATATATATATATATATATATATATATATATACACACCATTATAATATTATATATAATATGTATCATAATATAATAGTATATATAATATGTACCGTTAAATATTATTTATACTATAGTTGCGTTTCCATCTAGCCTTCACACCTATATAAATCTGGATTTTTCCTTGAAATTTATCTGTTAATATATATATATTGAGAATTATATTGTGCATTAATTACCTTGGTTTTTATTAATTTTCATTTTATACAAATTTGTTAGAGAGATTCATCTTCTACCACTACGAGATATAATGTCTAATTTTTTGCCTTTTTATTATTTATGCCTACATGTTTTTCTTCTTCTTTATATATATATATATATATATATATATATATAAATAAAAGACTACTTTCAAAACCTTATTTTGTATCTCCTCAACAATCTAGTAAAATGTTAACATATTAAAAAAAAAAAAATTTAAAAAAAAAAAAACAACAACAACAACAATATAAGTGTTAATTTCTATGAACGATGTCGTTTAGATTATTTAATAAAAAAAGATGCACCCATAAAGTAGATTTTCAAATATGCCTAATGGGTATTGAAGTTAATTTCTATTTCAGTTCTCTTTCAGCTAACGTTGGTTTGCTAAATCACCCATTTTGAATAGTTGAGGGCAAAAAATTTGAAAAGGGGGATTTAGTGCAAAACGTAAATAGAAAAAGGGAGTTTAATGTGGTTCATCCTAAATTTAATGGTCATATTCCAAATCCACTAATTTACTTTCCAAATATTATCAAACCACTATCTCCCTTAGTTTCCAAAATTAATATTACCACCACTATTATAAAAATAAAAAGTAATTAACAAACAAAAGTATTTTCAAACTTTTGTCACTGCACATTATATATAACATATTGAGAATCAATCTGGGTTTGCCCTAACAGTGAATTTTTTCCAAAGATTAACTATACAAAATAGTTGTTCTCATCTATAATTTATTGTTTATGGAATTTTCAGTTAGCATGTACAGCTGTATAAATATCTACATATCTAGGTTTTTTTTCTTATTTATCTAGAAGTTAGTGTATTAGAATTAAAGTATTAGCTATCAATTTAAATGTATAGTTGACTTACCTTAAATAGATCTATGTATTATACATAAATACCCTTGAGATATATGAAAGTAAGAGATCTGGTCAGCCATTTGTTAATTTGGTATCAGAGCAAAAAGAAAGGAATTTCAGCTGCTTTCTTTTTCCTTTTGTAACCCTAATTCTAAATACGTGCAACAGCCGTCATCTATCTTCTTTGTGCTGCTGCTGCTGCTGCTTATTTTTAATACCTCTTAGCTACAATCTATGGCAGCCAAAACAACCACTGTTTCTTCCTCTCTAACCGAGATTTCATCTGACAACAAAAAGTCCTCCACGATGACTATTCACGAAACTTCTTCTCACATTCCTATTAAATTGGATGGTGCTAATTATTGTGTTTGGTCTCAGATTTTGGAGATGCATATTGCTGGTAGACAGAAAAAGGGGTATATCACAGGGCGAAATGTTGCACATGCAGGGGATGATCCAAGCTACGATGAATGGGAGGCTGAAGATGCCCACTTTGTGTAGTGTGGAATAGCCAAGGAGGTTTGTGATGCGGTCAACAGAAGCTATCTTGATGTCTCTGATTCTTCTCAGGTTTATGAACTGATGAAGAAGTCATTTCAATTGCGTTAGGATGGTTGGCCTCTTGTAGAGCACTGCAATAAGCTTAACTCAATCTTTAAGGAACTTCATTATTGAAGACTAAATGATATGACGTGTGCAACTGATATTGAGAAACAGAGGAAGTGTATTGCTGAGGATCGAGTTTATATGTTTCTTGCAGGTTTGGATCACAGTTTAGATCAAATTAGCAGTCGTGTTCTAGCTACCTCTCTTTTACCAAGCCTGGAAGAAGTATATTCTCTAGTTCATCGTGAAGCATAGAGACAGGTTGCCATGGCAATAAAGGATCACTCAGAGGCCTCGGCTCTTGTTGTCCTAAAGAGTTCCCGACCAGCTCCTCCTTCTACCGACTTTACTTCTCGTCTCTGCACTCACTGTAATAGTACGAGACACGCGGTTGATGTTTGCTGGAAAAAACATGGTTATCCGGAGTGGTTCAAGCTTAGCAATCTGAGAAGAAGAGCTAGAAATTGGGTCAGGTTGCTATCACTAACACTTCTC